ACAAATGCCAACCCGTTAAGCCGCCCGTGGGAACGAAGCCATGGCGTTCTGATCCGCCTTATGACTATCCATGTCACGAAGACGGATGGTTACTATGTTCCTAGATGTCCAAACATCAGACCTATACGGTATACTCGCGTCACCTTTACGTCGACGGCAGCTGATTATCTCAACCCCTATATGTTATCTTTCAAACGTCTACCAAGACTCCATACAATATCACGATCAAGCCCCCCTAATAGCACGAAACCAAGCATGCCAAATTACAGTGAAGGCGATAAGGTCCGCTACAAGGCTCTCGGAGGTACATACATCCCATTCCTCTTCGCACACACACACACTCTCTCTCTCTACCTTCCGTCCAGAATCCCGTATATAAAATTCTAGAAAGAAACCCACCAACTCCAATTCTAGGCCTCGACTCCAAAACTTCCGCAACGGTGGGAACTATTCGCGTAGTCCGCACTTCGCCGATGAACCTGATGGGTCGGCATATCACAGCGTCGGAAGATGATCCTCGATATGAGGTATGGGTGCTTCGATGTCCGAGGGTGGTTGTCTTGTTTTCTTGTGTATACGGAGCTAACGTATCTTGTGCATTCGATGTAGATTGAGAATGAGCATACGCATAAGACCTCTGCGATCAAGGAGACGAGTATTATTGGGCCGGCTGAGTAGGTTCTAGGTTGGTGGATCGTGGAGTGATAGGCTCGGTGCAGGTGAAGAGATGTTATATGGGGTACTAATGTGTTGAGAGAATTGGAGAGGAAGGTTTTTGAAGATGTAGAAAGAGAACTGGGGATATTTGTAGGTGACTATCGGTTGGAAGTGTTTCGTTGAACAGTGCAGGATTAATATCCATAGGGCTATGGGGTATAGTGGATTCCGTACGTTCATAACCCGTTCATTCGTTTGTCCCTCCATAGCTAGGAATCATGTCAGACAAAATCTACATGCTTAATGAGTCTAAACCACCCACTATTTGATCCTCTTCTCTTATGCATTGTCCATCTATTCATATCAATTGAATCTCCCTCCCGCACTCTACAACTGACCCGGCCAGATATCGTTGGCAATGTCTCGAACCAGCTTCAGTTTGGCAACCATGCCGTCGTGATCAATGGCATTACCTTCGCGGTGGCTTGCGAATCCACACTGCGGGCTAACACCGACTTGGTTGAGGGCTTCCTCGACTGAGATGTTGTTTCCTTCGGCAATGAACTTGGCGGCGTCGTAAACCCTCTTTTTCATCTCCTCCTTATCCTCCAGCTCAGGGAACTTGCTGGTCACAACGCCCAAGATCACGTTCTTGTTCTTGGGGAGTTCCTTCAGAGGCTCGAATCCTCCAGCTCGCGGGGTGTCATATTCCAGGTAATAGGTGTCGACGTTCAGCTCTTGGAACAGCTTGGTGGCGATACGGTCATAGCCACCCTCGGAGAAATGACGGCTACCGACAAAGTTACCGCGACAGATGTGCACTCCGATGTGGAAATCGGCAGGGCGCTTCGAGAGCAGGTCATTGTACAGCTTGATGTACTTCTCGAAGACCTCATCCGCAGTGTGGACATTCAACGGATCCGACTTCCAACCGTCAAGCATCTTATCGGAGCAGAAATCTACCAACCAGATTAGCCTCTACAGTTACCAACACCATGGGATCGGCAATCTTACAAGCAAGGTTGGGGTCATCGAACTGGATGTTGCGGCAGCCAGCATCATACAGAATCTGCAGTTCATCTTGGTACGCCTTGGCAATGTCGGCAAAATACTCCTCGTCAGAGGCATACACGTCCTTGGGATAGGCCTTGCCCTCCTTATAGCGCAAGTGATACCAGTTAGGAGCAGCTAAAGTGAGTTTCAAGTTCTTGACTTCCTCTGGGGGGACCAGGCTGGCCAGATACTTGAACTCGTCGATGTACGTACTTCCGACGTGCTTGATCTTGCCGGTACAGAGGACGGTCTCGCCGGGCTTATGGCCGGCCTCAAGGAAAGCAGCAATATCGGGAGCATAAGTACGGAAGATGTCGGGATCGAAATCCGTCACTTCGTCAAATCCATCAAGACCGGGGAAGAATGTGCCCCAGAACACTGGACGACGACGGGTCAGTCAATGCATTGCTGGGTTGAGTACGAGATATCGCAGGCTCTTACTGTGTCGACGGTATTCTCCATCCGAGATCGCAGCATAGCCGAGTTTCTTTTGGGTCTCAGCAACTCCCTTGACGTCCCTGTTTTCAATCACGGCTAGATCGGCACTGGGGAGTTGCCCTTTCTCAAAGGCAGTCTTCGCTTCCAGAAGCGCATCCGTTCTCAGGAGAGACCCCAGGTGTTCAGCACGAAAGGGGGGATTGCGGTGGAGTTGAGGCGACATTATGAAAGCTATGGTTTAATCCATCAGTATCTCAATGTCTACGGACAATACTCACATGGAGGAGGAATGACGGCATGAACTTACACAACTGTTAGTATGTCTAATGGCGAAGCAGGAGTGTCAGGAGAGTGATGGAAGTTTTTAGGGAGGACGAGACCGACGAGAGAGGGGCAGCGAGCGCAGTAGTCCCCAGTTGATCAGGTTTACGTCTCAATATAACCTCCCCGGATCCTGACTCTTGCCCCACTTGTTGAAGGTTCTCTCCACATTTCAAAGCGGCGTCATGGAAGGAACGAAGGCTTGACGATAGGTTATCTCACTTAGGAAGGAGACAATAACCGCGGAAAAGAAAAGCGAGGAAGTTTTATCCTCGGCCCGGATACCATCTGACTGACAGGCACCATCTAAGCAGATTCGTGACCCCAATCTTCGGACACAAAAGTCATGACGCAGGAAGAGAGGACCATACCTCTATTGCGAGGTGGGGCCCTTGTCAGCACTTACTCAGCTATATTGCTTGTTTAGCGCCACATGAGAGTCCAGTTGAGGCTTTTGACAGGGTAGCGAGGGAGATCCTAGGTCCTCGCCGCTCGATAGTCATTCCTCTTTGCTTGTGAGCAAACGCAGCATGGGATCGGTCTTTTGAGAGGCGACCATAATGTAGTCAGTTGAATCAAAACCACGGATATAATGCGTAGATATTTCTCGGACCAGAGACTCCACAGGCCAAGGGGTTTTGCCGACGAGCAGATGGATGGTCTCTCTCTAGCGTATCGGAGTCTGCGAACTGCACGGAGGAGCGTTAGGCTAAGAACGCCCGGCAGTTGAGCGCTGCCTTCATTCCCGAGATTATACTGCCCCTCTCGTCTCCACCGCCTACCATTCTAGGAAACCGTATCATCTATTGTCGTCACCGCCAACTGCCTTTTGCCATCTCCCTCCTGTCTTCTACGAAGCCCTTCTAAACCGGTTGATCTTCTTGATTTTTGTAATATGTTGTTCAGTTAGCCCATTCTAGTACTAACCTATTCCATCTCAAGATTGACGATGACACCCGTGTCGTTGCCGTCATTCGAATTACTGCCAAATGAGCTTCTTGATGAAATCATCTCCTGTCTAGCCACTTCTCCCCCCTCTGCAGCCCGATTGCATCAGCCCCCAAGCGCCCGTATATCTAGATCCGATGATCGTCCGCTCAAAAATCTTGCTCGCGCTTCATCGCAGATACTCGAGGTTGTGCGGCCTCGGCTTTTCGCGCATGCCTGCTTCGATCTAGAGAATGTCCCCGAGTTTCTCTCTTTCATCTCAACATCGAACCTCGGTCGGTATGTGACATCAATTGTGGTGCATAGTCGACCATTTATGAAGCAAGCAGCAGATCCATTTTGGTGGCGCCAGGTGCTTGCCTGCCTTGATCCGCTGGGCGTGACTGTCGTCGCACCGCCCTCATCTATTGGAACGATGCTGGGCGCTGAAATATTCGAGGGAGATAGTTGGGCCTTTGACGTACCGCTGCAAATCCTCCACCTCAAGAAAAACCCGCAAAATGTCGCTCTCGGGCAGTTGCCATCTCTCGAAAAGTGTTCCAGTCTTCTCGAGGCCCGAGATTGGTCTTCCATGGTTTTCAACGAGTCTTCTTCTATCAAAGCGTACACTCACTACGAGTACTTCCTGTTCCAAAGCCCTTCTCTCTTCACTACATGGGGCTCTATAGCATCCCTCCGGTCTCGCGAGGCACGGGCGGCCCTATCTGTTCGATTTAATAACTTGACCTCCTTCAGCTTCGTGGCCGTGTTTCCATTCTATAACCACGTGAAACTTGTCCTCAATGCGATCGAGTTAATGGTAAATCTACGGTCGCTAAGCATTCAGCTAGCTCCTTGCGAGGGCGACAAAGTCACGGAAATAGAGCAAAAGGGTTCGATGGACCCGAGCGACCCTTGGATGGAAATCGCCACAGGGTACTCGCTCATTGCACATTTGGTGAAGGACTTGGGTGAAAAAAAGCGCCTTGTACAATTCATGGCCCGTGACTATTCTTTTGATGCCCTTCGGCCTGAACTTTCTGCTATACTTAGTGAGGTCTTAGATGATACCGATTGGGTACATGATGGCGATGGCACTTGGAACAGGAGAGTCAGGAACTCGTCCGAACCATTCAATGAGGTACTGCCATTAGTGGACGTCTAAGCTCTCTTCTTTCCCTGGACTGGACGCCCTGTTCTTCTGCCGTCTTTACTGTATTCTTAAGCCTGCGTAGCTGGCTACGCTGTCTCTGCAGATAATCACTAAGAAGGGTGTGTACATATTCCGAAAGAACGTGTAAATATATCAAGGCAAATCATTCATGCTAGATTCCTAGTATTCAATGATGGAGTTTTACCTTGTGCATTCTATCTTCTTGTGTGCCTTACGGGCGAGGCAGCGGCACGTGGAGCGGGCGGCCCGGTCCATTTTTCCTAGATCAGAGTACTCTCTCACCATCTCTCCGATTCACCCTTCGCTCTTCTCTGTGAGCTCCAGGAGAACCTGCTCACGTTCCCCATAAAACAATGTCACATTAAAGGCCGCTCACTGTCATTGACAGAGAATAAACCATCACATCTTATGGCGCATCCAATCTTACAAGATGGCATACGCTTCAGAATCGGCCCTGCCCATCCTCGCCCAGTCTCTTGTAACACCGCCAGAATCCGGAATTGAGATTGACTCAGAAAATAATATCGAGCCACGGGACTTAAAACCTCGGTCAGGCACATGGAGTCTCCAAGATGATATTGACTCAGGCTTTCAAGATCATCCCAATGGAATATTTCAAACTGGCACCGTCATCGGGATCTCCACTTTGCGTAGTCAACAGAGGAATGGCAACGTCGATGATTTGACGGGCCAGGTAAGATTCACCTCATATTCAGACTGATATTGGATGCTAATGTACTCGCAGCTTCCTCGTCACCTTCTCTCTGCGTACTTGCACAAACAACCAAAATCACCCACCCCGCTCCCACGGGCAATGATAATCCATCCGGCTACTTATGAAGGCTTCTCTCCAAGAAATCTTTTTTCATCACTCCTAGCACCGTCACAGAAACCTCAATTCACCCGCGAGGATGCAATCACTTGTTTGGACTCAGTCCAGCTCTTCCCTGTATATGACGTTGCTGCTGCCGTGCAGGCAATTTCGGAGATCTCGGACATGCTCGATAGATCTCGAGACGAACGGGCTCGAAGGCAAAGCTCCGGACAGTCTTCAGAGCATAGCGGTTCCTCCGTTTTGCTCATCGTTGCTGGGCTGGACACGCTTGCTGAGGCCGCAGTTCGTGCCTCGAATACCGTTCGAGGAGCGGCGATTCTGACAACCGCGTTACGCTCTCTGACTCACTTATCGCGGGTACATAGCTCATTCCTGTCCGTGATGCTGGTCAATACCAACGGACTTGGGTCTTTTGGTACATTCGCCAACGCTCCTAATTATATGCAACAAAGTAACCCCCGAAAAGACTATCAAGACGATGGCATTCACTCTATCTTTCATACGTCGGAGAGTCCTTTGCTACCCAGTCTGCTGATGCGGACGCTAGATCAAGGCATTGATACGCACCTGTTACTGTCGATGACCACAACCGCTACTGTAGTCGAAGTCATAAAGGATCGAGTTGGAGAGGGTGTTGGGAACTGGTGTATCTGGGACAGACGAGCGAAACGATGACTCCCCCCATGAGTCCCTTACAACTATGCAGAGCATTGACTCGAGGCGTTTGCAGAACAAAATTTCAGATTCGATATTGTACAAGTCATCTATCAAAGCTCAACCGGTTGTCTTACAAAAAAAGAAAGCCATCTGAAAATGCGCCAACCTTATGCAATAATGGGTGTTAATATCACAGTCAAAAAAAAAAAAAAAAAGAAAAGAAAAAAAAAAAAAAAACAAACCATACCAACTCCAGTGAAAGATCCCTGGTGACTTTTCTTCTTCGGCTTTCCTTGTTTTTGCCATTTCCATGCAGAATAGGGTATCAATCAAACAGCTCACTTCCGCCATCCTCCGGGGAAAGAGAAAACAAAGAAAGGAAAGAAAATAAAATAATTAGAGAAATATTGTCGTCGACCTCAATGTACATGCGGCAAGGAGGCAAAGTGAGGTTGGCGTCACTGACCACCATTCTGGGCATTGTCTGTCTCGGCCCACATCCTCAGAACCGCTCTTTCCACAACATTTTGAGCCTCTTTCTCGCATCTAGTGAGATCCTGGGTCAGAGTATTTTCCTCGAAGAGAAGTTCCTGCTGCTGGATCTTGACCCATTGCTTATGCCTTTCGCAGCGCTTTTTCGTACACACTCCTCGCGTAGTGTTTGCCATGTCATTGTCATCGGTGTCCATTGTCGTATCGCCGTCGGCATCAGTGGCATCGGGATAGCTTGACGCCAATAATTCAGGCGTGCCGTCCTGGAGCGCTTTCGCCCCAGCTTCGGAAAGTCTCCATTCGTCGAACTCCTCGTCGGACCAGGCGAGGCGAGTATCAAATCCGCAGATGTCCTTCCATCCGCCCTTGGGGTCTGTCTGCTTCAATTTTTCGACGATGCTTTTCGACCGTTGACGGACAAGGGTCAGGAATGTGTTACGCGCATTGAGCATGTCCTTGCGATGGTGCAGCTCGTCACGCCATTTGCGCAACTCCTCGATTTTGGCAGCCTCGTCGGGGGAATAGGTAAGGCGCTTCGGATCTGGATCCACGTCCAACCCGAGCTTCTTCTTGGGCTTTGTCTCGCCCTCGGGATTTCCTTCCTTCCCCTTTTCTTCCCTTTCTTCTTCTTCTTCCGGTGGAGGTGTTATAATGCGTTCGCCGAGTTTGCGGAATTCGCTCGCGGAGGAAGCACCCGTTACGAGTGCCTTCAGTTCGCCAGCGGTAAGGATGCCGCCTCTGCTGCCAAGTTCTTCTGGAATCCCATTCCTCTGGCCGTTAATGGCCGTAGTTCCGTTTTCGACAAGAACACCGTTGGTCTGGGGCTCGGCCTCTTGACTATCTCGCAAGCGACTTGATCCATTGATTGTATTCCGTCCGTTGGTGACAGCCTTTAGTGGCCCTTTACTCAATGACACACCAAGTTGTTTTGTTCGGGTAAGCATGAATTCACGGCCATGTTCGTCGGTGCAGTATTTGCTGGGATTGTTCGTGTATATGCGGGCGGGTTTTCGACAGTCGGGCAATCGGCACATCGGCTTCCACGTGGTCCATCCTAGACCCTTCTCCTTGCAATTGGGACCTAATTCGCAGTCAGTTGAGAACGGGGCTGGATGACAAGCTGATATCGGATTTCGATGAAACTTACATATATACTTTTCAATCAATTCGGCATCTCTCGGGTCAATTTTCACGCACTTTCCATGAAACCAATCATCGCACTCGCCGTCACAGGCAATCATCCAAGTATGGTTATCAGGTTTGCGGCAAATGCAGAACAGCTCGTTCTCATCCACCGAATCATCGTCGTCCTCTTCTTGTTGCACCGCAGGCTTCTTCCTGCCCTTCTTTTTGGGTTCGGGGACTGGAGATCCAGCCACGGACGTGGAGCCACGTTTCTTTGCAGCCGGGGGTTTGCTACCACGAGCTGACGAAGGCGTATTGGACCGGCCACCATCGACACTCTCGTTGTCTATGTCATTGAGTTTGCGCTTCTTGGTTGTCGGCTTCCTTCCGACACCCTTTTTGGTGGCGCCAGTGGCTGACTTTCTACCGGTCGCTTGTTTAGTAGAGTTTGCCGGCGACGATCGATCGGATAACGAAGACGCTCTGGAAGCTCCCCCGTGTTTGAGGTTGGCGATCTTTTTTGGGGTCGGATGCTCCCCGGGCAAGTCCGTGCCGTCAAGCTGGCCAAGAGTCGACCGCTCCTCGACATCTTCATCCAAAGGGACCTTGTCCAAGACCATTGCTGAAGGTTCTGTTTTAACCGGAGGTCCGGGTGTGTTTCGATTCCCTGCGGCTGTAGACCCTTCGCCAGCGCCGGGTATATTTTCGTAAAGGCTAAGCCAGGTTTGTACGTTCCCAGATAACCCGCCAACTCCTCCACCGAGATTTTCCGATACCCTGAATTGTCGGTGGATTTTGTTCGCCCTTCCGAAGCCGAAGAAGCCGCAGTGTCGCCAGCCAAGAATCCCCACGACTTGATCGTCGCTCACAATGACATTTGAAAGTGTCATGTTGTTATGCACCAGGTCCAAACTTTCGCCTTCGCCTTTGTCCTTGAACAATATTTCTTTCTCTGTATCCTGAATATCGGGCGGCAGTTGCGAGTTCAGTCCGCTGCAAACGTAAGAAGGGCTCTCGGGCGGGGAATCAGTGTCTCGTAGGCGTTCCAGAATGCGGCGACATTGCTGCTTGAACATGTTAATTTGCTCGTCGCTCAGATATCTCCACGCGACCTCCAGCGAAACACCCGGTACCCGGGATTCCACAGACACGTTTCTCCCGTCAATGGTACCGTAGAAATATATGACCGGCACAGCAACATTGATCTCCCTGAGCGCATCTTCCGCCTTTCTCGCCGCGCTCAACTCGTTTGCGTTGACATAGGAGTATTTTTCAGCCGCGGCGTCAAGGGCGGGCTCGGCGTCCACTCTGATGATCACATTACCGACCGCGAAGGCCTCACGCGACCCGGGTACATTCAAGGAGTTTTCCGATGTCCAGGAAGATCTGACGAAATTCTCCCAGTACGAAGATGCGCTCGGATCCGACTGGTACCAATGGTCGTAGCGGGGGATAAAATCATCGTCACGTCGGTGATAACGGCCGTACTGGGGACTTTGCTTCAGAAAAGGGTCATCTTTGGGGATGTTTTCGGGGATGGTCTCGTAGGGGTTAAAAGTTGTTGAATCATCGACGCCTTTGTTCCCCTGGCTGGGATCAGCGGGGTCATTCGTATCGCCAGCCATCGCAGTGCGGCTTTGTCTTCTGAGGTTTTTGCGACGCCAAAATCAGGTCGCCTGGATTGTTAACAGGTGGACGCGAAAATAAGCCCCAGACTAGTCTCCAAGACGGGTCAGTCGATACCGAGTGAAAAAAAAGTCTGCAGAGGCGGATATGATTATGTGGTCAACGTCGGTCGCTTTGAATGTAACGGAGACATCATGGGATGACCAGGAGAGGCGATGAGTGCTTCCAGCGGCAGCAGCGCGCACTCCAAAGCCGACCTGCACACGGTATCAAGACCCTCACAGGATTCAGGAGGGAGCGATCGAGCGAAATTGGCAGATGCGTTGTTTGGGTATCGCCAGGACCGGGCTCTGCGACGGCAAAAGTTGTTCGGAGGTGAAGGCGAAATCAGATGCAAGACCCCCGATGCGAAATGGCAATGACGCGGTGTTCTGGAGATCAAAGTTGCGAGTTATCTGAATAAAAACACAAGGAATCATTCGAAATCCAATTCCCAACGACCGGAACGTCCTGGAACTTGTAGACGACGCGCCTGGCAGGATGCAACTCGCGGTCGGTCGCGGAGATTCATTTCAGGATTTGCCGGTTCTGCCGCGGATTTAGACAAAGGCGGTGTCGACTTAACTCCGATCGTGGTCTTGACGGTCTTTCGGCTTTCAACAGTCAACATCCATCATTCTACGAGCATAAACACCGGAGGGAGAGCATTGCATCCCAGCGGGTTATGCGGTGAGAAAGCGCTCCGTATGATATTATCTAACGTGTTTCATGTCTAAGTCGGTCTACTTTGGAGAAATTCACTCAGTTCTCGTGGCCTTCGTGAAAATCATCAGCCTTGGGGCAATAGCCGGACCCCATAGATATCAAATAACCTCCCCGTCTCTCCTTGCTGCGAAGCCTGCGGTAGACGACCGAAACCGACCCTGGACCCCATATCCCCTGCAGTATACAGTCATGCAACCCATCATCATTCCCGGTACTTGATAACCAGAGTTGATATATGCAAGCCGTAAAGGCGCCATCGCTTCAACCACCAAGTCCTTAAGGAATATGTTTTAATCAAGATGGCCCTCACTTAATCTCAGCCGCTCGAGAACCCAGAAATCGATGTGAATACTGGATAGGAGGTTTTTGAATTTGGGGGAATCGTGTGGCAAAAAAGGTTTATTTTTGGCGGCCACATGGCACATGGGGCGATGCATGGTGGTCAACGGTGACACGGAGTATACTAGGTATATACTCCTCCGTGCCGTGATTCCACAGGATCCTGACGGAGTGGTCCCGGTGACAAGAGCTCGGGCAGGTCGGCAGGATGACTAGAGTGACCCTTATTCCTGAAACCTAGTCCAGGTATATCGGAGTGAGAAGAGTGCGGAATATTTCCATTGTTCAGGCTACATAGTTATTCAGCCCCGGCAACATGCATTGTGGGGGTATCGTCACTACGGTGATGTCAAACAGCAGCATGAAGGGGCCAAAAGAATCAAGAATAATTATAGTAATACGGAGTAGGGACACGGCGGATCTCAAGCCTTAATCGGCAATCCCCTGTCAAAGTGCTCACGGAACAAACGGCGCAAAGCTTCTGATCCTGCAAGGGCCTTCGTACCCATACGGAGTACACCGCAGTATACATTAGTATACTCGGAGGAGTGGGGAGATTGTCATGGAGTATAAACTTCTCGAGCTTTTGCAGAAACGGGTTTGGGGCCTAAGGTTGCAGGCCTCCACCGCGACCCTTTGCGGGGATTGACTTCCTAGCGCGTTTCCCCTTGCCGTCCCTCTTTGCTCTGACCGTTGATCCTCTCTCTCCGTCGCCTACTCCGACTTCCCCGAGACATTTGACTCGGACTCGAGTCCTGTTACGATGATTATGCATCATACATCATCACGATAAAGTTGCCACTTGTCAGCAAATAGACTGTGCACTTGTGCAGTAAGCACAAGCCATCAGCCTCTAGCAGGTTGCGACTAACAAATTAAATTTGGACCGTCTTTTTTTCGCATTTCATCCTCCCCTGGACTGGATCTGATAAGGGGCGAATAAGTTGGCTGGGAAAGAGCCGACCAGTGTTGGTGATCTACGCCCTAATCGTGGAAAATACTTTTATTGAACCTCACAACTACCTACAGCCACTACTTCCCTGTACCGGCTGCACCCGCAGACGGAGTATCGGTACGGAACAGGAAAACGCATGGCCACGGTTTGATTGGCTTTGTAACGGTTTAATCAAACTCAGCCTCGGGGTGGATGGGCCCAAGGCCCCAAAGCCACCAGTCAAGCCGGCAACTCGACATCAAGAGCCAAGACTGACAAATCTCCACTGGAACCAAAATCATCCCAAAGTCCCTCGGCGGCGCGACGCTAACTGCTAAGAGACGACTAAGAGCTTAGAGGCGCTGGCTAATTCGGCAAGCCCGTACCGCATCCTCAGCTCCTCGTCGACAATTCGTCCAAGTCCATGCCCTTTCACGCCCATATTATGACGGCCACGCCTCATCTCATCAATTGCAGGACCGGTTCCTCTTAGTAAGATGGTGGCCATTCTTACAGTACTTGCTTAGCCCGCCCCCGATCGCAAAGTGGATGGCGAACAAGCAAAATTCTTCACCTTGACCATAAATTGGGGTTATCGATCAGGTGGGGATGTTCCAGTCGGGGCCAACCAGATACCTCTCGAAGATTCCCGGACCTTAATTCCAATCCGACGGCGGACTTCCGGTTGTGTTCCCACTTCCAAGGTTTTCCTTTCCCCGTGGTGATTCAGCCGGTGGGGTGAGATTTGAGAGGTTCTATTCGACTCGGGCTAAATCTCCCGGGTCTCACATCGTATCTTGATTTGATGGTTCTCGTCCCCCGGATACATGGCACCCTCCGGCCCTGTGAAGTCAGAGTCAGACTTCTCCAAATTTCTCGCCCTGAACCGCAGGATTGAAAGGTGAAACGCAGATCAATCCCCTCCCACAGGGTGGCAGTGGGCACAGACTACGGAGTCAACTACGAACTGCTAATCCAGCTGCTAGACCCTAGTGGTCTTAGTGTCCCTTAGTATAGTACTTGGCTACTCATGCCCATCTCGGCTGCCAAAGCCATCTTCTCGGAACCCGTGCGGACTCTGGGTACCAGTCATTTGGATATCCATTATCCGCCCTCTCAAGCCATCATCATCTACCGGTCTACTCCTAGATCGAGGCTATAATTAGGCTAACTGAACTGCTAGTCTCTCTGTGTGAAACACCTAACCAACTTGGAGACTCTCCGCTGTCTGCTGTCCGCGCACCTGCACGCCCAGTGCCCACACCTGCAAAATATCGCCCACTCCGAGTCCTTTGAGCAGAAGCTACTCGATTGCTCCTTGGGCATAACATAATTTATTACTGAATCCTTTTATTACCCACCATCCATTATCTGTCGGTTTTCAAGGGGTGGAGACTTGCATTGCTGGTCCGATCATCTGGATTTATGCTCTGCACGTTCCCAAGCTATCCATCTGACTCCGTACTCCGTTCCTATCTTCTTTAAAGTCGTTTTCAACGTTAAGCAAAACGGTTTTCAGTGTATTTTATGGTCATGACTTATACTGGCAACCTCTGATCATTGTTGAATTTCTATCTCTCAAGAAGGCCCTACGAGTGCGATTGACTTGAAGCGCAAAACGTGGATCTACTCTCCTTCCCCTAAGCCTTCATTGCCCCAAACCAGCGACAGAGCATGTCGAATGAGAGCGACGCCAAAGGTTCGAATCAAGCCGCTCCGGAGTCATCGCAAATGCGGTGGCAATTTATCGATGCATCCAACAACAGTCGGAGCAATCTGACGCAAGTCAAACGACATGTGATGCAAGAGTATATGCGGCAAAAGCGCAATGTCGATGACAGCGAACAAGATGATCAAGAGCCCACGAAACCCGACAAAGAAACCCGGCAGCAAACCCGCCGCCGGTCGAGGAAGCCCCAATCTTCAGCCAAAAGTCCTAGTGAAAAAGCGAAGAAAGGGAAAAATAAAGGCAAAGAGCGAAGCGACTCTAAGCACCAGCCTGCGCAGAGCGATAGAGGCTCAGCTGTTCGGACCCAGACATCGGATGATGATAAGGTTGTGGAGGAGATCGAACGGCATTTTGTTACAAAGCCGACAGGTCAAGCTTTGAAGCTACCATACAGGGGAGCGACTCCTTCAGCTCCTGGACTGGCGGTCCCCCCTGAACTCCTAGAGCAGTACGCTCTAAATGACCAGAGCAGTATATCAGAACATAGCAATGGAACACCTCTTTCCTCGGCCCCAACGTCTCCCTTCAACCTCGGTCTTTCCCCTAAGACCATCCTCAGCGCCGCTCGAACGGATCCGTTCAATTGTCTTCCCATGGAATTGGGTCTTGAAGGCCAAAGATTGTTCGATTTCTACGTGAATGAGATGCCCGCCTGTTCATATGGCTCACATTTTCGATCACAGAAGGCTCATAATTGGTACACGGCCGTTTTTGTTCCGGAAGGCATGAAAGGGCCGGTGGCATTTCAAAATACTGTTCTTGTCCACGCAGCCAACACATGGGCGTGGGTTCGGAATGAAGAGGAGACTGATTATACCTTAGCCCATCGCAATCGATCAATTTCTATGCTTCGAGATCACATGGCAAAGCATCCCGGGGATATCTCTGACCAGGCCATCATAGCCTGTCTCAGCGCCGCAGGGCTTGAGGACTTCGATCCTCGACCGGGGCGCAAACCAGTAAGCTGGGTACACATGCGAGCCGCAAGAGAAATGATTCGTGCGCGGGGGGGACCAGCTGCCTTTGAGGGGACGCGGTTGGGCATGTTGATCAATTGGCAAGACTATATTCTATCCGGCTATGAAACCAACGGATCGAGCTTCTTCTTTGAACACAACCCTCTTCCACAAAGACTGCCCGAGCACGGTCAATCACCAGACCCGAACTCTTCTCCATTTTTCTCATCACCATCTCCTTCTCACTCGATACCCTCAATATCCACTGAAAGCACAACCCGTATGCCCGGGCTTGGGTTCGCCGAAGCAGCTCTCCCTCAGCAGTATTTTTCGCCCGCTGATGAGCTTCAGCATCAGTGTGATGAGTTCATCTATTTTCTTAAACGTTGCGAACAACTCGCTTTTCAACATCAAGGCGTCTATAGTGGTTCCGTGCCGTCGACGCGACGCGCCGCATTCCAACAAAATTCACTCCTCTATCAAATCATCGCTGCACCGCCTGGAATACGATTCACGGCGTCGGGGAACCGTAAGCAGTTTGTTGCACGCTTGGTCGTCCTCATTTTGCTGAATGCAGGCCTCTGGGACTATCGATACTCCATACAACACAGCGAAACCTTCCTACAGACTCTTCAGCTAGCTATACTGGATAGCGAGGTCGATGTCAGTGGTTCGGTTGAGGCGCTGCTCCAAATAATGCTCGAGTGTAACGATGGGAGTGTCACTGTAGGGGATCCTCTATTCCTTGCTACATCTCTGGGCGTTGAAGGCTTCCCTGACTTCACGCAATATTCGGCGACTGCTCAGACTGCGTTTAGCCGGCCTTGGTTCGCGGGTCGGATGCTCAAAGTTGCGAAGCGACTCAGCTTAGACTCTTGGCTGAGCATTCATGATTTTCTTTTCTCGTGCCTGACCCTACAGCCTATGGTCGGGTGGGTAGCGTTATGGCAGGGGGCGCTCCGAAAGGAAATCCTCAGCGCGCCGCTCACGAGCTATATCATGCCAGCGCTTGTGGCACGATGACTTTCATAATGTTATTAGGAGAACTTCTTCCGTCATTTGCTTTTCGTCTTCTTTCGCTCCTCTCTCTCCCCTCTTCCCTCTCCCTCTCCCTCTGTTTCTCTTTCTATTTCTCTCTCTTTTCTGCTCTATCTCATTAGCCTGGATCTTATTTTGGGAACAAGATTCTTTAATACCCATTGTATACAAATTGCTGTAGGATATGGCGTCGATTGGATATGATAGAATGCTATAGCGTGATGTACAGTTGCATGGACTGGCGGATTTAGGATTTGCTTTTAGTTTATTTCCATTCTTTTGGTTCGAGCCATTTCTTGACACTTTCACTAAAAAATACATTTTTGGCAAATTTTGGGGTTGCTATCTACCATCTCATACTGAACTCTTACACGTCATACATGTCCAATTAAGAATCACCTAAATCTTGGACCTCCCAGCCATGCAACTCTTTGACCTGTCGCCTTCAGCACTCGAAGGCGCAAAATTGAGTTGCGAGTCTTGCGAGTCAGAAGTGAAAACCTGCTCGACTTCTTCCAGAGACTTGCCCGCTGTTTCGGGGTAGAAAAACCACACGATGATGGCGGCGGCCCAGTTGAACGCAAAAAAACAGTAGAAATAGTTGAATCCGATACTGGTCCTGGCAATTGGGGAACACTGGGCGAAGACCAAATTCAGACTCCAGTTCGTGGCGGTGGCTAGCGAGGAGCCTCGAGCGCGGATGGCTGTCGGGAAGATTTCGGACTGGTAGATCCAGGAAATGAGGCCGATGCTGGTGAAGAAAAAGGAGAAAACGAAGAACATGGCGATGGCGGCACGCACGGCGTTCGGGTTGGCCGAAGGGTCCGCGAAGCCGTTGTTAGCCTGAGCCAGCGCTGCCTCGACGCACATCGTGACCCCCATTCCCAGCAGAGATGGGATCAACAACTTGCGACGGGGCACGTGGTCAATGAAGAGCATGAATACGCAGTTCCAGAATTGCGCCAGTGCGCCCCAAATGCCCTGGATCATGAGTGGCGTGGGATCCTTCAGGCCCAGGGTCTTGTACAGACCGGGATTATAATTCTGGATCACGTTGGTCCCCGAGCACTGCGTGAAAGCTTGCAGTCCGCAGGCAAGTAGCACGCGGCGACGCCATGTGGCCCGGGTGCACAGCAGCTGCCGCCACGAGCGAACGCCCCGGTGTTGCTCTTCGGCGATGCTCTCGCTAATCTCGGCGAACTCCAACTCGACCAGATCGGCGTTCGAACGATCGCGATTGAGGTGCAGCCGGGCGAGAACATCGCGTCCTTTTTCGGCCCGACCCTTTTCAATCAGCCAGCGGGGGGATTCGGGCAGGAACCAGACACCTGCGACAAGGATGACAGCCGGCAAGGTCTGGAGCGCCAGGGGAAAGCGCCAGGTAAAATCGCCGCTGTGATGGAGAGAGCAACCGTATCCCGTCCACTGCGCGACCACCACCCCCATGCCAATCATCCATTGCTGCATCGAACCCAAAAACCCACGAATTCGAGGCGGAGATACCTCGCTCTGGTCATGGGGGTTAGACTCAGCTCTGGTGAAAACGTTGTGGATGTGGGGCGAATCGACATACGCAATAAACCGGAATGATTGAGGACATCAGACCAATCGCCACCCCAGCGATCAAACGGCCAGCAATCAGCATGGCGACGTTAGTGGCACCGGCCTGCAATGCCGCTCCTAGAGAAGCCAGGATTCCGCCAACGAACATGCCAGGACGGCGTCCAAATGGATCGGAGAGATAGGAAGCGAAGACGGAGCCCAGAATTGCGCCTCCTTTATGGGAACCAGATTCGTTAGACGAGGGGACCTGATTGAAGAATCGGCAAAAAAAAAAAAAAAAAAAAAAAAAAAACCCAATGCACTGACCATTGTAGGAGGCCACTATGCCTCCTATAGCAGCATCAGACGGATGATTGAAGCGATCTAAAAAGGCCGTCTGTTCCAGCGTCGACGAAATGACGCCGGAGTCATAACCGAACAGGAACGATCCCAGGGTTGCAAAGACACAACACAAAGTGACCAGCAGGAACGCCATGATGGATGAGAAGAGAACAAAAAAAGAAAACAAGAATGAAAGGAAGGAAAGACAATCGAACTATTCAATGATACATGACGAAACGGATTGAATGCATAGGGGCCCAGACAGTTTATCTACCAGACAAGACCGGGGCCAAAAAAGACTCCGTGAGGTGTTTTGAAGGAACGGAGAAGGATAAAGAAGTGATTGACAAGGCCTGAATAATGGACGTCTAAACGACTACTAAACCACTAACCATCGAGCCAAGACGCAGCGCGGAATTGGGTCCATGGAGGACTTCGTATAGAGGCAGCTTACTCATGCATGCATCAGCCCTGTCATCCACGGACATCCTTCCAGGCGTCTTCTAGTCAATTCCCCTCCGGCGGATCGGATTCCTTCTCATCTTTCGTCTTTCATCTTTCATCTGACCTGCATCGTGATCCCTGGTCTCTTGTTATCTCGCTTAATCGGTCTGACTTGTCTTGGATGACTGATGCTTCTCTAATTCTTACTCTCTCTCTCCCGGTCTCTACTCCTTTTCATCGCTCCTCTCTCAGTCTTCATCCCCTTCCAGTTCTTCCCCACTTCCTGTTCCTCTCGCCCTCCACTCGGCGACTGAGACCGAACACCAATAATCCGTCAGCCAGACTAAGGCTAAGACGAAGAGAATAACAGGGACCAAAAGCCAAGAACGAGGATCATTTCAACCAGGCGATCCCTTGCTCGATCGCTCCCTCCCCTACCTCTCACTGTCTCTTTCTCACTGTCCATAAATTCAATATTCAATGTGGAATCATTTCCACGATTGACTCATTCGTCGCTGATTATTATTAACCTCGGCCCATTCCCTCGGACTTTAGAGCGAACCAAGTTTTTCTCGTTCTTTGCTTTCTCATCTTTTCGTCACTGATTGGATCCCACCAACAAGTCTCGTCGGGCAAAAAAAACCTCATCTCCGACCTCCGTCACTATTGCTCCCCTCCCCTCCCACTCCGAACAGGTCGCGGTGCGCCTTCCATGAACCTGTGAGAAGCAACAATTCCACCCTCGTGGAGGTGCGATTACTGTCGGATCGCCACGCGGGCCCTGATCTCCTTGCTGATCGCTGTAGTCTCGTCACTACTTTTACTTTTTTTGCCCCCGCTCGGATACATTCTTGCGCCCTCGTTCGGCCCCCTTGCATGACGCTGCGCCGACCGCCCAATTTCCCTCTGCTCAACCGTTGTGTGTGTTTGCGCCATGGCCTCCACTTCCGCCAGCCCTTTTCACGCCGCGACGGCTGAGAATGCGACCGAGGACGACCCCGCGGCCGCTGCCGACGCATTTTTCTATACCCAGGATGACTCCGACCCCTCGGCCAACGTGCCCGAGATCTCCGCCGACCTCGATGCAGATGATATCGACCCAAAACAAGCCAAGGAGCCTCTGCCGATGCAGAAGAGACGACGAGTGACTCGAGCTTGTGATGAATGTCGTCGAAAAAAGATCAAGTGCGACGGCAAACAACCGTGCACCCATTGCACGGTCTATAGCTATGGTAAGAAGCTTTCGCTCCTCTCCTATCCACCCATCTACCTTTCTACTTGGGAGGGGAGATTCCTATGGGTGTTCTCTGTTCCCTAATTACTCATACGACCTCTGTGTACAGAATGCACTTACGACCAACCCTCCAATCGTCGCCGCAACCCCGCCCCTCAATATGTCGAAGCGCTAGAGAACCGCCTTCACAAGGCCGAAGCTCTCCTTCGCGTTGTACTCCCCGACATTAACCTCGATGACCCTCGATTTGACGTACATGCGACGCAGCAAATGCTGGCGACGGCCAAGCGAGAGAAACTTCCGCAGCAGCCGCAGCAGCCGCCGGAACCCGCGCCCCAGTTTCCACCGTCCCAGTCCCAACCGCACCCTGCGGCCCCCGTTGGTTCTAGACCGGCTGTAGCCGCGGCCGGCCCAGCGGATGCGGCGCCGGAAAATGGAGGGTGTGAGGAATCTTTGTTGGAGTCAATGGTCGATAACTCGGGGTTCTTGGATTTGGATGATCAGGGTCATTGGGATTACCACGGACACACTTCCGGTGTCATCTTTATCCGGCGATTGCGGAAGCAGTTGGGCGCCGCGGACATCTCGGCGCCAACGCTCCGGTCGCGCTCGATCACGCAGCAAATGCTAGACAGTCCCAAATCTGCATCGGAATCACCACAGGACGCGACGTTGCCTCCCACCCATGATCTGCCGCCACGCGATGTCGCACGACGTCTGTGTTACAATGCCTTGGAAGACGGGTGTTCCTTGATGCGATTTGTCCACGAGCCCTCGTTCTTTGCGACCTTCGCACGGGTTTACGACACCCCACCCGAACAGTACTCCAACGAAGAGAATTCGTTTTTACCGCTTCTATATATTGTGATGTCCGTCGGTTGTTTGTTTTCGGATGATAGGGCTGGTCCCCTGGATCTTTCCGGCTACGAGAGTGCGATTGGCCAAGGGTATGTCATTGTCGTGCTTTCCTCTTAAATTCTATCTACTAACATGAAGGTCTAGATTTCAATTCTTCAAAGCCGGTCGCCAGCTCTTGGAAATCACCGACTGTCGCGACCTCACCTCCCTCCAGGCGATCTGCTTTATGGTGCTCTTCCTCCAGTCTTCTGCCAAATTGAGTACATGCTATTCATATGTCGGCATTGCGCTTCGCTCCGCTTTGCGATTGGGACTGCATCGTTCTGCAGTGACGGCCCATTTTAACCCTCTAGAACGAGAGCTGCGCAAGCGCGTTTTCTGGGTCGTCCGGAAGATGGATGTCTACGTGAGCACGATGTTGGGGCTGCCTCAAATGTTGAGCGACGACGACATCGACCAGGAATATCCTGCCTCTATCGATGGGGACTTCATCACACAGGATGGCATCCTGCCCGCGCCTAAGGACTACACGCCGCTTATGGCCGGCGCCAATGCGCACACGCGCCTGTCCACCATCATCCTGAAAGTGGTGAAATATATTTACCCAGTCAAGAATGCCCAACACCGTTCCGAGTCCGACCAGCGCTACGTCGTAAGCCACTCGAAAATCCGGGAGATCGAGCGCGATCTCCAGGCGTGGATGGAAGAGCTGCCTGCAGCGCTTCGACCGGGGACGGAGGTCTCCCCTCAACTAGAGCGGTATGTGCTTCGATTGCTTTTTCTTCACCTGTCACCCACTATAATAGGCTGACATCTTCATTAGGGTACGACAACTATTGCGAATCAGCTATGCGCACGTACAAGTCGTCATGTATCGACCCTTCTTGCATTACGTCTCGAGCGGCTCGCAGGCGCGCGGTGTGGACCGACGCTCATACGCCTGTGCCGCCGCTTGTGTGAGTGTTTCTCGGAACATCGTTCACATCACCACCGGCATGCATAAGCGAGGACTGCTCAACGGGTCCTTCTGGTTCACCATGTACACCACATATTTCGCCATCCTCTCATTGCTCTTCTTTGTGCTTGAAAATCCTGACTCGCCAACGGCGAAGGATGGGGTCCTCAAAGATGCGATGGAAGGCAAAAACACACTTGCCGGGCTGGCGAAGAAGAGTATGGCAGCGGACCGATGCTCACAGAGCCTGAATTCCCTGTTCAAGAATCTGCCGGAATTGTTGAAGAATCGACAGACCACAGCAAACCCGGTCAACTTGAAGCGTCCCGCCCCGGCGAGCGGCAATGAAGTCAACAGCAATACCAACAGCATCTCACCTTTGTTCGAAAAGCAACCGCCTCAACGGTCAAGCACTTTCCCCATTCAATTGCTCAATCGGGGATCCAAAGAAGCCAGCAACACGCCCAAGAGTCTGGACGACAGCGGCTCGGGCCACCGACGCTCGCCGTCAAACGCCCGTCTCAATCATGCCTCGACCTGGTTCGCGTCCACGCCCGAAGCGGCCTCAGAACCCGTGTCGACCCCATCGGACACTTACCCGGTCAGCGAGCCCGTGGGCGCTTCATCCAACACGGCATCACCAATGCCCATGTCAATGCAAATGCGAGACGCATCTGCCACTCAGTATGCCTCACATCCGTTTAACACCAACGCGGGGAATCTGCCCGATCTCATGGGCATCATGTTCCCGTCCGACGATCCTTTCGCCTACCCCACGCAACCCATGTCCACGCTGGAAGATGGTCATTTCCGACAGGATGGTGGTGCTGCATTCGGCGTGAACCCGGCGTCGCAGCAGTCTGGCATCTCGTCTGGTCATGATGGCATGGGGGTGTCGACACCGAACTTGGATAGCTTCACCAACTTCCCCCTCTTCCCCAATGGTACCCCGACGCAGATGCACGCGACACTGCCCACTCGGCTCGCCAACCCGTCGTCACACATCAACCAGTCACGACTGCAGTCGCCCGTCTCGCACGGATCCACGCCAGGGACCACGGGCGAAGCCGTCAACAGCCCGGATCTGGTGTCGCTTCCCAACAACAATTACATGTGGCAGGGCTACAACTTCCAGCCACAGGACTTCCAACAAGGCGTATCCGCACAACCGACTATGCCGTCAGGCCAAGCGCCTGATCTCGGAATGGGTCTCGACGACACCAATTCGCTAGGAATGGGCATCGACCTGGGGATCTCCCTCGACGACATCTTCGGGAACGGCGACGTGACTCGAAGCGGACTGCCGATTGACGATTGGACACAATGGAATCCCAGTGGCTAGAAGAGGAAAAGCGTATACCCTTTTTAATGTGTTTTTGGCTTTGGTTTTGGTTCTTCTATTGGATTTGCTTTATCCTCTTCATCTGTTTATGTTGCAATGTGATGTTCTTTGGCTGCTAATTGTTGCTACGATATTTAATGAAGAAATGGTGTATGGGTATGGTCAACGTGATGAGGCGTTTCATTTTTTTTTCTTCATTATTATTATCATTTATACCATCTAGATGTGAATATGGTTGCTTTTCTAAATGTACATTCCTGTTTTTCTATGGCTTCTAGAGAGAAATGGGTTTTTTATCATCTATACACAAGTTCACAGTGTACAAGGTTATCGTATATCTCTATAATACATCACCACGCCAAATCCAAGTCTCAAATCTAAACCCTCCTCCTCGGCGCCTGGTACCAACTCCAAATATTCAACCCGAACTTCGTCCCTTCTGTCACTGGCTCCGCGGCATGCCACGTCTCGGGATATCCGGAGCCATCCGCCCTCAGATTCTCCCAGAAGATCGCATTCCCCTTGATAGGCTTGAACGTGATCCCTTCTCTCCTCGTCCCCTTCTTCTCTCCACCTTCCTGTCCTTCCTCCCCAGCCACCTCATTATAACCACTCTCATCGCATTCAATAAACTCACACCACCGCGTATCCCTCGGCTTCCTCAATCTCGGGAAATTCGTCCCGCCCCCAGTACATTCAGCTCCAAGATAGACCATAAACGTACTCGCGCGATCACCACCCCGCGCCACAGATCCGGCCCAGTCATAGTGATGTGTGTAGTGTCCTGACGCGTTATATCGTTGGGCCCACATGCGCTCAATATAAAGGTTCGGACGCCAGCCTTGGAACGCGCGCGCGCGCGCCTCAAGACATCGAATTGCGGGCGTGCGGGGGAGGAGGGCGCGGTCGGAGAGACGGCGCGAGGGGTCCACGATTGAGGCGCTGCCGTTGTAGAGGATAGAGGGGGTGTAGTTTGTTTTACTATTTGGTTTAAGTTTAGGGGGTGGTTAGTTGGTTCCTCTGAGTATATGGAAGAAGGGAAATGCGCCGGTGGGTAAGGGATGGAGGAACCAAGGGTACCGGTAGTGCGGTACGTACCTCATCTCGACAATCTCATCTGCTTCCTCCCCCGAGACGAAATTCTCGATGTAGATGACCAATGGATCGCGCGCGAGTAGATGCACCCGGTATTGTTCGGCCTCTGGGGGGCAGGTGACTTCTACGCCGTCGTCGAGGCTGAGGACGGATTCGTCGAGCGTGACGTCCGGGTCATGGTCGGTGGAGTCGAAGTCGAGGGCGGAGGAGGATGCGAAGTCGGAGGGGAAGAGTTGGCGGAGGAGAGGCGCGACGACGAAGATGTAGAGGGGGAGGAGGTAGAAGAAGGAGGAGAAGAGGGTGGAGAGTTTGATCATTTCGGATCATGGGATCATGGGTGTGGTTTATATAGATATAGACATATATAGAGAGATGATAAGGGGGAAGAATATGAATATGGATATGAATACAGGGAAGGGAGGATGTAGGAAGAAGAAAGTATAGATCGGATCGGATCGTCGGATTGATTGATAACTAACGTAATCCACGGTCGAGCCGCGGTTACGACCGAGCCGCGGATTTTCAACGCAGCTACCACTGCTTGAAGCTATTCAACCCACCAACACCTGAATTTGACTAAATAAATACATGAATAAATAGCTATTTACTAGGACAATTTCGAATGGTATGTCCAACTATCCCACAGCCACTGCAGCGTTGCGGAGCTCGTCGACGAGGTACTGGAGTAGATTCCTTAGGTTGCTCATTAGGTTGCGTATCAAGCTGCTGAACACGATTCTGGCCTTCCTGAACAGATAAAAGGATATCATTCCCTAGTAGACAACGTTTCCTTGCCTTCTTATATTTTCGCTCGTTTTCTTCTCGTAAATTCTTGATTTCTTGCTGTAAAAGAAGGTTGGTATGCATAGTCATTTGCACAGCCTTTTCAAGATACTGAATATGAGCAATAGGACTGCTAGAAAGCTTCCGTTTTGAATTAAGGCTGTTCGTAGACTGCGTAATTTCCGATCTAGCTGGCGAGTATTCTGTGGTGTCTGGAAAGCAGAGGAAATTGAGCCTTCAGTTAATTGTGGTGTAGGTGTGCGTGGTTGAAAAGTAAGCTTAGAAAGAACACGCTCTTGATTGAATGGCTTAAGACCTGCCCCTGCAAATCCACCGTAGATATTCGCTGAAGTAAATACTTTAGCGCGGGCGTCTGGATATAAAGATAAAAAGTCCTCTTTATCTATGTGATTGTTGCCGGCAATCATTCGGCTCTCAAGCAGCTTTCCGTACGCGCGTTTAAGCGGGCCAAAAACACCAACATCAAGTGGCTGTAGAAGATGAGAGGCATGTGCAGGCATACAGAGACAGATAATTGCATTCTGCTTGCAGAAATCATCAAATTCAGCAGTTAGATGGCTACTATGGCCATCTAGAATAAGCAACCGCTTAGAACCAGTCATATAGCGTCTGGAGGATGGTTCAAACACCTCTTTCAACCAGCGAAGGCCTATTTCATCTGTTGTCCAGCCATTCTGACTAGTTGCAATCCACCAGTCTTTACCAAGCTTAGGTTCTTGAAACCAGGCAGCTTGTTGATTGCCTGCTTTGAGTATAATGACTGGTGGTATATGCACGCCTTTTGAGCTGATAGTTTCAATGATTGTGACCCATTCACGGTTTCCCTGAATGACTTTGCGTGGTCGCTCACTGCGCTCTACTGCAGTAATCACCTTAGAAGTAGAGCATAGTCCCATAGCAAAACCAGTCTCATCAAAGTTCCAGATATCGTCCTCATGGATACCATGTTCTTGAATAGCTGCTTGTACAGTCTGAAACCAAGGTATTATAACCCTAGGATCTTCCTGTTTTGCGCGTTGATATGTCATTTGTCTTGTATAACTTAAGAGGCGGATGAGTCAGCTGGGATCATATGATCAGGAACTATACGGATCATTAACATTAAGTGTTGAGTTATGGAATCTATATACATGTCTAAAGTTGATATTACAGTTTACCCCGGTGGGGGTGGGTTGGGGTTTTCAGTCTCTCGGTCGGCCAGTTCAGACTCGGTCACTGGCACAGTTTCCACGCGAGGCTCCTTCGCCTGCATTTCATGCTCTTCTCTCTTCGACTCCGGGTCGTAATCCAACGTCAATCGCGTCACCTCGTCCGGACATAGAGACTCCCCTAATCGATACCTTCTGAAATCTTCCTGGAGATACCCTTCCCATTCAGGCAGATCCAATCGAGCTGCTTGTCTGAAATCCCGCATCATTTGGCTATGCGTGACCCACGGCATAAGAGCCCCGATTGATCGAGGGATACGAGGTCCTCGGAAGCGTCCGCGGCGCGTGAAGAAAACCCCGGCCATAACTAGCACATCCATAGAGACGATCACGATGACAATGACCATGGTTGGAATAGACAGGGTCATCTCCCAGTACAACTGGGTTTGAGTCCCGTTCAAAGCGGGCAACGGAGACTCGGTCAAGCGATCAATATACAGTTCTCGCCAGAGTGAAAAGTAGGTGCTGAAGACGGTTGAGTAAACGAACTGCGTCGCATTCATCAAGGTGTCGGCGTTGAATGATGAGAAGTCAGGGTCTACTTCTTCGTAGGCATGCTCAGTCAAGATTCCAGCCCAGTCAAAGTGAGAAAAAGCAGGATGCCGATGGGTTACAGATTGTTGGACAACCTGAGCCAGTGAGTGGTGATATCGCGCGAGGCTCTTGGTGGCGTTGACCATCACGCTCCCGCTTGTGATGGCGCTTCCAGGCACCGGCCTGCGTGCTTGTACTTGTCCATTGAACTGGAAATCAATCTCGAAATCTTGAATGCTGATGTGGGGCTCACAGTGCAATGCTAGTGTGTTCTTTGAACCCCCAGCAGTGCCATTGATCAAATTCCATCGTGCAACGACGACGACGGTGTTCGCTTGGCACTTTCCAGACTCAATTGGCGTCAAGTAACGAATAGACTTGTCATCAAAAGTTGCGTTGTCAACCCCTGCTGGCTGAGGAGCTTCCACGGTACAGTGTTCACTAACAGCATGATCAAAGGGCTGGTAAGTCCAGTATTGTTTGCCAGTGTTGTCTTCTACCCGTAGCTGGTTAGCATTAAGCTCCCGACACGTTAAATTTGCGCCGATTCCACGTGTGGTAGTGGTATAAAATGAACGCATCATTTCTATGTCATTGATTGCCAGAGGGTAGAATGAATAATCAGAAGATGTCCACGGCAGAAGGGGCATAGTCTTGCTCATCGGGACAAAATGAAAGCTATCAAACTCGGGTGCAGAATCTGATATAGAGAACTTCGAGAGGCTGTATAGCTGCGACAGGACCGAGGTAGGATCAACATATTGATTAATTTGCGGTATGAAAAGACTCCCGCTGGTGAGGCTGAGAATTAGATCGATAACACAAGCCAGCGAGACAATTGTCAATAGAGGGGGTCCCTTTCTTGTGCATTTTGCGAACACCTCCAGCGGTGTTCGAGAGGTATAATCCATCAACAGAGTCTGCTTGGCAGTGGCCATACCTCGTTCCAACCGTACCCATGGTTCTAGGGTGCTCAAATGACGGAGGCTAGATGCCAACAGCGCGGTTACCATGGACGCGATTACATTGGGAGCATAGAGCAGTAAAAGCAGGCACATGATATCCCAATTGGAATAACTCGGGCTATCATTATGGAACCCGAACCGCCTTAGTGATAATGAGAAAACGACCAGCATCACGATGAGCAATAGACATTCAATTGCAAAACAAGGTATCATGAGGAAATGTGGAACGGGATCTTGCTGTCGGCGGGCTGCGCGAGCGGAGATGGTCGAAGAACGTCCTTCGGTTGGAACGAAGGTTATCTGCCACCCATGTGGCCCTTCTCGCCATTGGCAATGCAGGTTTCTCGCCCATCCGCGAAGCTGTCGGGTAGTGGCCTTGTGCAGATTTGCATTTGACAAAGCCTCAGCAGTGTCGGGGTGAAATAGGTCGGCAATGATTCGGGATTGTGCCGCAATAGACCCGGGATCACTTTGCAGAAAACTCGCTCGGCGTGGATAAGCGTATACGAGATATAACAGTAGAAGAATAGCTGAACCCAGTATGGATTCTGCGACAAGTGCCGTATGTGATATCACCATGATAGAAACTATCGGTGTCACTTGCTGTGCATCCAACTCAATCGAGCCTGCCATGGGGTCAAACAATCGATTCATCGTGAAAGCAAATGTTTGCTTCCAGAGATTAGCAACATCTCGCTGATACTGCGCCGGATCTGAGATGAAGGTAGCTCTGTGTGGCACTAGTTGATTGGACGCGTTTGTGGCCTGGCTATGCTCTGCCATGATTCCATCAGACAATAGATACATCATCCCCTGCAATTCATCTGCTCTGAAATCCGACATTTCCAATGGTTTAACGGTGTCGGGGTAAACCGTGACCGAATCGATTGAAGAATTGGCGGTGATAGAAACATTGGCAGTCGCATGTTGGTATGTTACCGTGCAGCCAAATGCAGCAGCTTTAGTCGTCGAGATCGATCCGTCATCTCTCACATTCAAGTCAGCTATCAGAGAATAAAAGGCATACTGGTCACAGTGGCTCGCATTGAACACTCTGGAAGTCGAATGTTCCTGGCGGGGCTCCCAATAGCGCAGTTGGAAGGGGTCGGTATCATTCGGGATAGTACTGTCAAGAGCGATGTCGATTTTGCAGCCGTTGGCGGTAGCACTTGGCCCGGATATGAGGGATCCATGGGCCTTGAATGATACCGTCCGATGGCCATCCGAGGTCCTGTTTCCAAAAGAAACGCTCCCCTCGGGGAGCGGGTCAAGTGCTGTATCGACGCATGTTGTGTTGGCCCAGTAGACTGTTTGGTTCAAATACAGCATAGAATTCTCATTCCGATCCTCGCCGGGCATGGCAAAAGGAGGCATCGCGTAGTCGGCAGAGCGAAGCAGTGGCAGGTGGGCGTTCATGGCCGACATGACTGAATGGCCGCGGTGTGGCATCTGACCATGCATCCATGCCGCTTGAGAAGCTCCATCAATCAAGTCAGGCCATATTGTCACAGTCTGGGTGCTGTGCATATCCAAATCGTTCAATATCGTGAGACCGGAACATAGGGCCGGCAGGAACATTCGCAGAACCAAGGACATGATTGACACGCAGAAAACAAGCCAATGGTTGTGGCGTGCCGCGGTAATAGGAGCCAGGATGCCGTATGAGAAATTATAATTGAGGAACAGCACGCTCGCCGGCGTGCCGTTTTGTCTAGCTAATTGCAAATAAGGCTCCAGTCGCATCACATCGTAGGCACAGAAACTCCAGAGTGTGGTAATGATCAGCGCAACAAGAGTTGGCAGGTACTTCGAGCCAGCCATGACAGAGTTGTTGATGTCGGTAAGGTCATTATAGAGTACGATACCCCTATTTTTGTTTGAAAGACATCGCAGGACCTCCATTGTCACCAGCGTCAGCAGCATAAATCCGGCCAGGAACAGGAGAAAGGGCGCCTGCAGCGGTGTAGGCCTCCAGGCCTGCTTTGGGGAACTGGCATGCCGGGTTGGGTTGAGGTTGGATCTGGAGACATCTATGCCAGACTCGCGCCTTAGAACTGAACTGAATTGAGGTGGGCCTTGTGTTATAGGATTTAGCTCACCTTTAGGATGCAGCCGTTTGATCGCCCCGGATAATGGATTTCTGGACATTTGTCCCCTCTTTCATTCACGACGAATGCCTCCGTAGATAATTCCCCAGCAAAGGGCTGACAGAACCCATTGAGCTCGTTGACAGTGGAACAGAAAGCCTTAAAAGCATACGGCTCGATGATGGCGAGAAGGTGTGCGCAGGAGAGTGTGGCTTGAGCTGAGAGGCGCGCCAGAGAATTTGTACGGGCACCAGCCTTGTGGGCCGTTCAAAGGGTTCGGCGTGTGGCTCATCATGGTGAGTGTTTTAGCCTTTTAGGCCAATCGAGACCTTGGTCGGGAAGTGCCAAGGCCCACAGACGGATAACCATCGTGCTAAGTTGGCAGCTAGAGTCTTAGTCTTGATACTTGAGTGCCCTGAAACATTATTAAGCGGCCTTAGGTTGATAGTTGCGAGTCACTCCGGAGTAGTTGACACCGTCGCATATAGACCGGTACATGCTATATTCCGCTCCGTGTGAACTAAAAGCGACTCCGTAGAAAGGATACTCTACGGGGTAGCTTCGTCCACTGGGAGGGTCTCTCAAGAGGATTTCTCTAGCCGAGACGAATCGATGGGTGGTTTTGTCAGACAAAGAAGGTCCACTCAGGCCCACATTGGGCCAATCGAAGAAACTTTGGTGCCTAGGAAGTCCCGCAGTTGTGCAACTGGCAACGAATCGGTCTATGGTCTGGGAGACTAAGACAGGGTGGCTGACAGATGGTCAATAATAATATGGATGATGAGACGCAGGAGATAATTTAAGGAGAAGGATGGGGAAAGATGGAAAGATGCGGAGGACACAGAAAGAGAGAGACTGTCGTGACTGCTTATGTCATGCCCGCTGTACCCTGCTCCGTGAAAAAAAACCGGGTGATTTCAACTCCCCATTTACTTGTGAAGCGGGCATTTGATTTGAATGGATTTTACGGTATCATAAAATATTCCTGGCCCTTTGGTTGACACTTTTCTTTTCGTATTATTTGTTTGTCTATAGTGACACTCGGTCATGGACTATTGACACAACTCCGGGGTAGCCTGTCTCAATTTATATATAACTTCACGGGTCCGAGGAAAGGCTGAGGTCGCTACATGGGTTTGCTACATACCATGCATTTTAAATTAAATAACTAGAGCATCATTAAATAGGCCGTGTTAATCAATACTTAAAAATCAGTCGTTACTCTACTTATCGGGCTTACAAACATCTAAAGCCGCCAACCATGTAGTACGCAGTAGACCAGATAGCAATAGGCCAGACATCAAGGTGCTGCGGAGTATCAAGAGAAGACTTCTAAGTGGTCCGTAGACATGATTTTAAGATCCGGGTTCCGCCTTGGGAGAAACACCGATTGATTGTGGCTTATCTGATTAGAGACCACGCCCATGCAGTGTCAGCATGCGTCGTATGGAATAACTATATCATACAATAAAAGCCACCGCTGGAATTGTTTCTGTGGGCTCGATGACAACATGCCATGCCCTAGTCTTGACCTATTAAGGTCTAATGCATCCATGACAGATCCCAGTCCAAATCCATGATTTCATCAAAACGGATGCCGGACAGCCCCTTAGGATTACGGAGTGCAAGATGTATGCGCCAGGCCAAAAAGAGCAGGGTAGGGCTGCAGAAAGAAAATCGATGGCTTCTATATTTATGTGATGCTGCCTGTGACCCGAGACTTGGGCCGGTCAGCCCTCCACTGCTGCTTCTTTGTCCATCGGGCGACAACTTGCATGTCAACGTTCCAACATGTCAGGAAAATCCGACGAGATTCCAACAGCCAGGCAGTGCGACTTTGACTTTTCGCGTCTGTTCTTTGCAGGAGAAATTCCTTGTCGGCTCATTTAGACGCACGATGTAGGAGAGATTCTGGTGGCCGAAGCGCCTCCTTGCAGACGGAACTCTCGTGCCCTAAAAGCCAAAGTGACGCAGGTCTCAGCGCCGGCCGGTCTTCATGTCACCAAAAACAAGGTAGAGAGCAGAGACGCGGGCTATTCCCTCCTGCCCTTAGACCAATCGCTAAAGCAACGCTAAACCAGGAGGCCGAGGGACCATCCGGGGATGGAATGCCAGCCAACGATGCTATCCGAGGAATCTTCTGCCGAACGAGAACGAGAAACCTTATTCCCATCGTTATTTTATTTCGTCGCCCTCACCTGGAGTTGAGCAGATAGGCAGCAAGATTAGTAACGGACGGCGCCAAGATGCGAGTCTTGTCGCATTAATCATCCTCTTGGCCACCTTCCAAGACTTCTTGTCCTTTGGACGGAGCGGGAGGGTCAGAGGAGGGATGCCAAGAGAGCACCCTTGGTCGATGTCTGAGTAGGAGACCCAGGAGACGAGGAGGTTCGCCTAGACTTCCAGAAGGAAGGCAACTGAAAGATTGGAGATGGAGGGATGCTTGGTTCGGGGTAATTCATTTTCGTCTCGACTTTGGCGACCCCTGGTTGATTACTGGCACGTGAGCCGATCACGTTTGGAACGGCATTGGCTGACTCGGTTGACCTCGTGGTTTTTCTTCTTTTTTATTTTTATTTTTATTTTTTTTTACTTACAATTTTTCTCTCTCTTATTTTTTATTGTCAAGGATATCCAACCCGATGAACAGCCGAAGCGACGGTAATTCGTCGAGGAGGTACACTGTACGGGAGTGAGCGTGAGGGGTGAGTGAGGGAGTGAGAGAGCGAAGACAGGAGGTGTTCTGGGAAGTACCAAGGCAGGGAGGGCATCTACGCGGGGCCCGAGGGTCGCGGCCATCCCGTATCCTTCTGGTTCTGGTACGGTAATTATGATTATTATGAGGTATTATTCGTAAGACGCAGGCGATTACTCGGACGGGCTTAGGGTCCTGGGCATCTGGTCCTCGAGAGGTCCGACTCCACGATCTAATATCGTACTATAATAATCATAATTATTATTGTTAGAATGGTTTTCTTTCTCCAAATACATATATTTTAATGTGAATTGTCTATCCACTGAATGTCATGTCAGAAGCAGAGCAAGACTAGACCGTACAGACTCGGTACCTAGTGTCAAGACTCTAGACGCCACCAGCCCCGCACAGATCTTGGCCCGGTCTTGTCCCTGTCCTCCGCCCGGCTGTGCAAGCGGCCTTTTCTGGGCAAGGCTCGGCTCCGGACGCCCGCAAAGGACAAGAACCCAAGCCTCCCCCTCTTGTGCTTCCAAGACTTCCTCTCTCTTCTCTTCCCCCTTGGCCTCTACTCGTATTCCCATTTAATTCCTCGTCTCCCCCCCTCCCCCCTATTTTAGTGTCTCTGATTGTCTTATTTCTCTCTCGACACCGACTTACTTGTCACTGAGGCATTTTTTAACACGCGTGTGTGTTATATCATTTCCATTATCATCTGTATTCGCTGTCCTTTTCCTGGACTCACCGCGTCTTTTCCATCATTGACCACCCCCCTGGATCGGTCAAAAACAAAACGACGTAGCTACACCTTTTGATTGACTATTTATCTTGTTCGTTGAGGGAGACCCTCGTCCTATCTCTCTTGTCTTGAGTTCTTGACTCTTCCGCCGCGTCCAAGAAAGGGACAAGAAAGATTTTTCTTGGCAATGTCGGAACACCAAGACACAACGGCTGCCTCGACCACGACGGCTCCCACTGCCGCGTCGACCGCGCAGGAGCAACCTGCGACCCAAAGCCCTGTTGTCCAGGTCTCGTCGGCTGCTTCAACGTCGTCGGTGACGGCTACTGCCGCCGCTGCGACCGCGGCCGTCGCCAACCCCCAAGTCAACGGCAATGCTGCTCGCCCCAGCGAAGAACTCTCCTGCCTGTGGAACGGTTGCACCGAAAAGTGCCCAACCCCTGAGTCCCTTTATGTAAGTTATACCCCTGCCTCTGGTTATGGCTATATGTTGTCGCTTGGTTATGCTGTTATGGTGTTTTCGCCCTTCATCTCCGTCGCCACTTGAACACTGCCGCGCGCGCGACCGTGTGTTTTGTTGACACTGTTGACACCTCGCTTCTTGGCATCGCATCGCTGACCTTTTCTCCCACAGGAACATGTCTGCGAGCGTCACGTTGGCCGTAAAAGCACCAACAACCTCAACCTGACGTGCCAATGGGGAAGCTGCCGCACAACGACGGTCAAGCGCGATCACATCACCTCCCACATTCGAGTACATGTACCCCTGAAGCCGCACAAGTGTGACTTCTGTGGGAAGGCCTTCAAGCGCCCTCAAGATTTGAAGAAACATGTCAAGACCCATGCAGATGACTCTGTTCTGGTTCGCTCCCCTGAGCCTGGTGCTCGGAACCCAGATATGATGTTCGGTGGAAACCCGGCGAAAGGTTGGTTTGGTCTCACCCCGTGGATCGCTGTAAATTGCAACTAACTGGTTCCCTTCTAGGCTATGCTGCTGCTGCACACTACTTTGAGCCGGCGCTGAACCCGGTCCCGAGCCAGGGCTATGCTCACGGCGCTCCTCAGTATTACCAGTCGCACCCTCCGCCCCAGCCGGCGAACCCGTCCTATGGAAACGTCTACTATGCTCTGAACCACGGCCACGAGCCGGGTCACGCGTCGTATGAATCCAAGAAACGCGGTTATGATGCCCTGAATGAGTTCTTTGGAGACCTGAAGCGCCGCCAATTTGACCCCAACTCCTACGCTGCCGTGGGTCAGCGTCTGCTCGGCCTCCAGAGCCTGTCTCTTCCCATCCTGAACGGTGGTCCTCTGCCTGAATATCAGCCCATGCCTGCGCCTGTCGCCGTTGCTGGCGGAGGCTACAGCCCTGGCGGTCCTCCGGCTCCCGCGTATCATCTGCCGCCCATGAGTAACGTGCGCACCAAGAACGACTTGATCAACATCGATCAGTTCCTGCAGCAGATGCAGGATACCATCTACGAGAACGATGACAACGTAGCAGCGGCGGGAGTAGCTCAACCGGGCGCTCATTACGTCCATGGCGGTATGAGTTACCGCACGACCAACTCGCCGCCCACTCAGCTGCCCCCTAGCCATGCCACGGCCACCACCTCGGCGGGCCCGGTCATGAACGCGGCAGCAGCAGCCCATTCCCCGTCCACGGGGACTCCGGCCCTGACGCCGCCCTCCAGTGCGCAGTCGTACACTTCGGGTCGGTCGCCCATCTCTCTTCCTTCGGCTCACCGCGTCTCGCCGCCTCACCATGAGGGGGGTTCGAGCATGTACCCACGGTTGCCGTCGGCCACGATGCCCGACACCATGACGGCTGGCTACCCCACCACGTCGAGTGCGGCGCCGCCATCTACGCTGGGCGGCATCTTTGACCACGACGAGCGTCGTCGCTACACCGGTGGCACTTTGCAGCGCGCAAGACCCGACGACCGGCCCGTGGCGGAGCCCATGGATGTGTCTCAGGACAAGGAGGATGGCGAGCGTACCCCGCCCGCCAAGCCTCGTCCCGCGTCTTCGTCCCCCGGGCGCATCTCCGCCAGCCTCATCGACCCGGCTCTGTCGGGTTCGCCCACCGAGGAGGAGGCGACGCTCCGGACGGCGCAGGCCGCTACGGAAGTTGCAGAGCGCTCGGATGTGCAGTGGGTTGAAAAGGTGCGTCTTATCGAGTACCTGCGCAACTACATTGCTTCTCGCCTTGAACGCGGCGAGTACGAGGGACTCCTGCAACAGCAACAACAGCAACAAGAGCAAGAAAGCGGAACCTACTCGCCGGAAACCGGACTGGACGAACGCATGGAAGGAGTTGAGCTTGAGTCTCCGGCAAAGTCGGAGGAGCCGCCCATGAAGTCGGAGACGGGTGGCGACCAGGTGATGTACCCTACATTACGGGGAGTCGACGACGACGGAGATTCGAAGATGCCCAACTGAAGATGAACCATTCTTGGGATTTCTTTCCATTATTAGGTTTCTTTTATTTTCTGTCTTGATAGCCATCATCCGCTCTCTTCACGCCCTCTTACGACTTCGGAGTTCAATTGATTCCAATTCCATTCATCACTCTTCTCTACACCTTGTTTATTCCCCGTCCACTTGACCGTGGCATGCTTAGTTTACCCTTGTCCGTGACAACCATATATCTATGCTTTATATTCTACATTTTCTATCATGCTCTTCCCCCTTTATATTTCGTGTCTCTTTGGTTTTTTATTTTTTATTTTTATTTTTCTTCCCTCCACATTATATCTTCTTTAAGGGAAAGCTGATTTAGGGCTCGAAATGGTGTTTCTATTCCTGTATAAGTGGGGTTTTTTATCATTTTATCTTTCTCTCTACTATATCTTCTAGTTTTTTGTCTTGGAATGGATATTTTTACCTGCTACTCATCCATTGAAAGTAAGACAGCCCTCGAAAACGTAGTTGTAGTGCTGTCGACCCAGTCGTGGACGAATCGACGTTTTCAACGAGTGTTTATTTGGCGACGACCGGATGTTGACGGCGAGTGTTGACGCTGCAACAGTCCGCGATGCTACCGTTCCGTCGGCACTTGTTTGATTATTTACGAGTCCGATGTGATTATTTGGTAATTTGGTTATTTTGCTACCACCGAATGACTGATCGACTCGACGGCGACAGTTGCGGACACATTCCAGGGCTGGACGCTAAACTGAACGCGGTGTGGCATGACGCAAACAGACGCCGGTATGCAGATGGATCAGCGACGTTTCTCACGAGGCGATCCGTGGGATGCTTTTTCCATGGCCCCATCCGGGCACTGCTCTCTACCAATTGGGACTGAATCTGCGTTGGGGGAGAAACTTGGGTCGCATCAATGGAACCCTTCTAGTTGTTCATCCCAGGTGCACCCGAAGGGTTCGTCCACTGTTTATGTCAGAATTGTGCCATCCCCACTGCCTGTTTTCTTTTGTAAATGTATGGATCATAGGTAAGAAATTAGGTGGTCCTGGGCCTTCGAGACAGGGACCGACGACGGGTCTTTTGCATGCGAACAGTTTGGCCCGCCAAATCTCCCTCCTTCCCTCTCTCGGAACCGGTTGTGTTTTCCTTTGGTCTCAAGTTGAGAAAAGGGCAATTCAGGCTCTTGATTCGTCGATTCTCCACTGTCTGTTTACGGCGGCGGGGAACGACATCGTGCTGGGAAGGTTGATCCACTCAGTCGGATGGGAGCTGGTTGCCTTTTTTCCTGTTTCACTTTTCTTGTTCTGTTCCGGTGAAAGGATATTAAAGGCAGCGGGACCAACCAGAGGAATTTGAATATCTTCAGTGAATGGGACAGGGAATGAGAGAGTGAAGGAAATCGAAGTTGTGAGAGGCAGAGAGAGAGAGACTGAGAGTGAAAGACCCGACAGAAAGAGACTTCCCCACACGGAAGCGGTCACGCCCCTACACGCGCGTTATCGTCATCGCTCCGTCCACAAACCCTTTGTCACGGACTTTCCTTCGCGCATCTCGGGGATTTCCTCGCTACATCTGTTCGTCACTGAGTTGGATCTCTCCAGCTGTCTCCTGAATTATCTGCATGAGACACTAAACACCTCCCCCGCCCTCATCTACTGGCCTACGCATTTGGATTCATCCGGCAAGATCCTTCACACAAATTCCCGTGGCTGGTTCTATTATTCAGCCACGCCCAGTTCGCGTCTGATCTCTTGCGCGAGTGGCAAACTGTTTTCTGGCTCTTCCTTCCAGCACTTCCTGGTTGAGTTTTCTCGTTGCCTTTTTGAGTTCCCTCAGTCCTGCTAGGACTTGGTCGTGGTTCTTTTCTACATTGCTCTGATCCTTTGCGCCATTCCGCCCTTGCCTGTCCGTGTGTGCGACATCGCCGCGATATTTCCATCTATTGTTATTGCTCTATTTTTTCGACCCCGTCCTATCCCGCACGATATTGACTTGAACGATCGACTCGAATCTTGAGGTGTCTCGAAACCAGTTTGATCTACGTCACTGAAGGAAACACAACCAGTGGGAATTGTTTTCGCGGAGGAGACCGAGTGGGTGAGACTCAGAATGCCTTTGTCCAATCGCCGTCGCGCGCGGCGCAAGGAAATTCAACTCCAGGAAACGTCGGATGTGGAGGCGCCAGATTCTTCGCCAACTCGGCCCTCGAATAAGAAGCGCAAGGTGAGTTGGTGCCGCAGAGAATCCTTCCCCGGTGATCACTGTGGCTAACTCGGTGTTTCTGTTGAAACGCACAAAGGTCGAGCGGACTTCCCCTCATCCTCGCCCCATCAAAACAGCAGAGTCGGCCGACGAAGCCGACGACTCCTCTCCGGAGCATGATCTATCGGAAAACCAGGACCTTGTGGACATGGTCATTTCCTACCTCGATGCGGCCCGCGAAGAAGTCCGCGTCTTGCGCGACCACTCCAATGCGAAGACGGAAAACAAGCAGAGCATCCGGGCGTATGCGAAGATCGCCGGCCGCAACTGGACCTACTACGTCAAAACCCTCCATGTGAACATTGGGCGCGAACCCGACCGCGAACAGAAGTTGGACGAACAGTCGAGTCCTGTCACCATCGCTGCGCGGGCGCTCCCTGAAGTCAACGTGGATCTAGGGCCGAGCAAGTTCGTGTCGCGCCTCCATGCGGAAATCTTCTACGACGGCGAAGAGACGGCTTCCTGGCACATCCGAGTGAACGGTCGCAACGGCGTTCGACTGAACAATGGCATCCTCAAGCGCGGAACTGACACCATCCTCTCCTGTGGTGATATTATTGAGATTGCAAACACGCAGATGATGTTTGTGACGCCTGGTGACAAGGCCAACATCCACCCCAGCTTTATCGATCGAGCGCAACGTCTGGCCAACGGCGAGGAAGATCCCGGCACCTGGGATGCTTCCCAGCATGCGCACCCCCAGACCACGCCCAAGTCGGCCAACCACGACGCCGCGCCCGCACCCTCCACCGGTCAGCCCTCGCTGGCACCCGCTCCTCAGTTCCTCAAACGCCAGGTAACGCCGCCGCCTCGGTCGCCAGACACCGTGGGCGCGCGAACGGCGAAGCAGTCCCCGTTGTACAATCGCGGCATGATGATGGAGAGTACAGAGGAAATCGACTACAGCAAGGATTCGGCCAAGGACCTGAAACCACCCTTCAGCTACGCAACGCTGATCGCACAGGCTATTTTCTCGAGTGAGGAGGAGAAACTCACGCTGAACAGTATCTACAATTGGATCATGGACAAGTATGCTTTCTATCGCCATTCGCAGAGTGGCTGGCAGGTATGATTCCCCTCCTGGAAGCTCACTGGAAGAGATTGTTTCTAGGGCTAATGCGAAGTAGAACTCGATTCGACATAACCTTTCACTCAACAAAGCTTTCCAGAAGGTGCCTCGCCGTACCGACGAGCCCGGGAAAGGAATGAAGTGGCAGATAGCGCCGGAATATCGCGAGGAGTATTACAAGAAGCAACTTCGCAAGGGCCCGCAGTCGTCGGCTCCGTCATCGCCAGCTACCAAGGAACCCCCGAGCTCGCGCGCCCACAACGGCGTGGAAAGTATCTTTGCCGGCAAAAAGTCCCCCCCCGTGTCCTCTCCCGGATTCAGCTCGTTCCCCGTGGCCCCCGTCGAGGCCTACACTCCAGAACGGGGCTCGCGGGCGAGTCGGAACAGTCGTCAGGAGCATTCTCTGCGGCCGCCCAACACGCGGGATTACGAGGAGCCTTCACCGTTGCCCACTCGATCCACCGCGAAGCAGCACAACGGCACCAGTCTGAGTCGGTCTTACGGACTTTCCGACAACGTGGCCGGGTCCCCGCCCGTGCTCTCGTCGTCGTACTACGACGAAGGTCCGTCTTCCATGATCACCCCCGCACCGCAACGTCAGCAACCCCGTCTTCCTCCTCCCAGCACGGCTCAGATACCGTCCAAGTTCATGCCGATGAGTTCGCCCGCGCAATTCTGGAAATTTGCGGATATCGGAAGCACGCCGGCGCGGCCCGTGCCCGATATGAGTCCGCTGAAAGGCGATCCGGGAGACGGACTGGGCAGCATCCCTAGCAGTAGTCCGCCACCGCCGAATCTGGCCAGTCCCAGCAAACCGGGCACCTCCAACGGTCTTGGACATGGACGATCGCGGCGATCTGTCGACGGCGACGAGACTCCTCGACCTGGCATGAATGGTGCTGGCCGAGAACGACCTCCGGCACCGGAGGAAGACGAGGAGGAGGATGATAATGCAGGATTTGATCTCGCGAGGTAAGCGGTTCTCTAACCAAGATTTGATGAAGGATTTGAACTTTGATTCTAACATGGATTGCAGAGGATTCCAACCCATTGGATCATACCATCGACAGTTAAGCGGTGCCGCTCGAGCCAGCGCCGCCACATCTTGATGATTTGACACCTTTCTATCCCATCCATTCTTCCTCTTACGACCTTCTATCTTGATCAGATGACTCAATGGACCTTTCTTATCATCTTTGCACTCTATCAACTTGCGCATGACCTACGTTACGACTGCTCTTTTTATTACTATTTCTAGACCGGAACTGCCAGCAGGGCAACCTCGCATAGAATGGAGTGTTGGCAGAATTCAGCAGAGAAAATATGGAGAAAGAAGGCGTTTTTCTTTGAGGGACTAGTCACTTTGTTTGTTTCTTTTTCTTTTCTGTTTTTGTTGCTTAGGTACTATGGCTGGCTTTGCTCGATGGATGTACTTACGTGATACAATGAATATCCGGAATGACTACACTTGATCCTATTGACCTGGATCCCCATTTCCTAGTACATACATGATAACACACCTCTCATCAATGATAGGTACCAATCTACCTACAAACTCACATCCGGCCAAAATCTCTCCTCCAACCAAACCACCTGCCTCCACCACCTCTCACACCGTCTCGTCACCTCCTTCTCACCACTCGCCGCCATCTCATCTACTAACTCCCCAATCCCATCCACAAACCCCTCAAACTCCTTACTTGACCAATTCGGAATAAACTCCTTCCGCAGCGCCCCCCCGTCTGTATCCTGACCCTGACCTTGGCGCTGCTCCAAAAACGTTGCCGCGAACCTCCACGCCCGTAAATAGCATGTCTCCGTCGCCCACAGAACCACCATCCCTTCGAGTAAGGAGGCCCCTGCACTCCCAGCCGCCAGGAAGAGATCGATATATGCGTGCGTGATGGCGTTGGGTCCGAAGTCCTCCTTCCCATTCCCATCTGCTGTAGGTGTTGGTGTGTTTAGACCAAGTCCATACGCTGCAGCCGTAGATTCGAAGAACTCGATCTCGCGGCGGATGTTGATGAGGGCGTCGATTAGGATTGATGCGAGGCGGGATTCGAGGGATTGCGATTGCGATTGCGGGTTAGAGGGGAACCGGATCTTCGAGAGGAGTAGGCCGATGAAGCGGATGTAGGACTGCGCGTAGAGACGGTCTTGGGAGAGCCATTGCTCTAACACGGGTTTCGGGAGCGTGCCCTGGCCAGCGCGTTGGAGGAAGGGGTGTTGGGTTGCGCGGTGGAGGGATTGCGGGGTGAGGGTGGGGAGGTGTGTTGTTAGAGATAGGGATTGGGGTTGGCGAGGCATTGTGATCGTTCCTCAGCTTCCTCTTTTTTGATGTTGTTGATTGAGGGGTGGTGATTGTCTTAGAGGAGGGGGATTGAGGTTGAGGTTGCAATTATTATACAGACACTGGATTGTTTTGGAAGAAATTTGGAGTTGGAGGGGTTAGTTAGTTAATTAGTTAGTTAACAGTACTTGGTTACGTCAGGCGGTCCACTCGGCAATCGTCTTCAATTAATCTCGAATTCTCAAGGGGCAGTAATCCCCCCATGATTTGGCTGTTAACTATAACCCTGAGGCACAATCCATCTGATCGAATTAACTACTAACTAGTGCTCATTGCCCTACGCTCAAGAAAATGATTCAGCATCATCCGGATCAGCACCTCCATTGTGTAGCGTGCATCATTGCCGGCATTGTGCAGGTGCCAGCCCGCCATCCCCAGATCCGCCAGAATCGCACCCAGGGATCGCGCTGATAACTCGCCCCGCATGATGCGCCATGTCTCCGCCGTGTCCACAATGTCGACGACTCCGTTGCTCTTGACCTCCACGGGCGCCCCCATCTCTCGGAGAGACGCGAGATCCATTGATGGGTTGTGGCCCACCACCACCACCGCGCGCGGCTCGCCTCCCTGGTCCAACGCTGGAGTGAATCCCTCCCGTACCATCACCGCCAGGTCGGCGAGTGACACCCATTCGCTGGTGCCGAACTTGAAGTATGCGGGACAGCCGCGAATGAATTCATGGTTGACAATGTGTCCGAACTCGTGCACCCGCAGGTGGCGCGATTGGATCTGCGCCGTCCACTGCGCCCCTTGTTCGCCCGGCGGAACGCCCGACAGACGCGACAGATCTAGAGTCGAGATGCCCACCTCCGTCACTTGGGAATGACATCGCTCGTTGCACTCGACGTCAATGCTGATGAGCACCGGGTTCTTCCAGAAGGGGTACGGCATGGGCTGGGTCATGTCCCAGTCAGCTGGGCTGGGGGTGTTCGGAATGTTGGCCTTGTCCGCCCACGAGGCAGCGTCAAGGACGGCGGGTTGGCTCTCGGACTCGTGAGAATGCCACCCCAGGTAGCTCTGTGTGCGCTCGTAGCACTGCACTAGTTGCTGTTGCTGTTGGAAGCGCTGCTGCAGCTTGGTTTTAGACTTCCTCTTGTTTCGGGTCAAGTCCCATGCCGCCTCGAGGACCGTCTCGTATTCCAAGTATTGCTCGTCTACCTCTGGCTGGCCATGATTGGCCGGGGGAGGGACCTTCGCCTGCAGCTCGTCTTTGGCCTGTACGCCATCGCATTTGCCGAGGAAGACGGGCTGGGGATACCAGTTCTTCTCCCGGAAGGGAAGAAGCATTCCTTGTTTGGGGTCTGATGGCAACGACAAATGACAGTCGAGCTCGCGATTAATTTCTCGAATGAGCTTTCGGAACTGGGAGGCAGGAACGAGGAGGAGAAACTTGGGCCCCAGGCGAGAGGGAAGATGACAATAATAACTATTATATCTTGTCAGATCAATACGTTCAACTGACCATTTAAGAAACAGAAAAAGAAGACTTACACATCCCAACTTCTGCTCCAGAATTGGCCACGATCGAAAAATCGACTGGCCACACTCTGAGACAGCCTGTCTTTGAGGAACCTGTACGGATACTTGGAAATGCCCAATAGGGGACAGAAAGACCCGTCATTCTCTAGAGGATCTGGGGCGGCGCTGGAGATTTGTTCGGATGATGGCGATGCAGTCGATTCAGACTCCTGATCGGGTTTCAAATTGGGGTCAGTTGTGACCCGTTGCTGAGTCGCCTTGTCAGGTGAGACTTTGTCGAGGTCCTCCACTAGAGTGGCGGTCTGTTCACTAGACACCTCTTCTAAGATGGGCTTCTCAACGATAGGCTCAGGTGCAGCCACTTTTAGCCCGGTATTGATTTGCAACAGAGCCTCATCCTGGTCGAAAAGGAGGCACAAACGGCTGACCCGATCCATTTTGTGAAAGTGCTTTCAAGTCCTTTTAAATGGGATGAAATAGGATGAAAACACGACAAACACTGCTGGTAGAACGGGAGGGGAGATGAGAGTTGAAGGAGGAAATGGACTGGCGTTTGCTTTGGGGGAGCACAGAACATCCCCTTTCAGCGTGAATGGGCTGCCTGGTGACTGGGTCCAAAGGCGAGTGAATCTTAATGTAATTTTCATTTCCAACTTCCACTTCCACTTTCATCTGCTACTTGTTCACTCACTTGCTCACTTGCAGGTTGCTTGAAGTTCAGTGATCTGATGAAGAGATGAAAGGATTCTTGATATGATTTTATGAATACTGTTCGGGGGAATTTCTAGGTTATATGAGGAATAATTATGATCATTCAGCTGCTTTTAATAAAGATTCACATGAATCATCACAATAACAAACCTGAGAGAGAATGCCATCAAAATGCAAAATAGTGAAAGTGAAGTACTGACTGGATGACTCAGCAACCAGCATAGATATAGTTCGGAAGAACCTTCCTCCGATGTCCCCGGCGAAGTCCAGACTCTCAGGCTCCCAGGCTCTGAGGTTCCCTCTGTCTGTCCTCGACCTTCTTCCCATCCCACGTTCTCTCTTCTTCTACTTCACCTCCCTCTGACAAGACTCTGGGGCCGGTTTTTTCTGCGCAACCCATGTCTCGACCTTAGTCTCTTTTGTATGGTCGCACCCTGACACCCCTGGTGCTGTCCTCGCTCTAAGAGCATCTCCACCTCCCCATCTCCCACCCCTATAGCTCTCCTCCATCTCCGATTCCTCCACTCTCCACCCATCTCATCATGTCCGACTTTCACGACAACTCAGGCGGCGTGATCCTGGATGGCCCATTCGATCCAGACGCGCAAGCCACCGTCACAGATTATATCGACTACACCGAATACCTTCCCGCCGACCTCATTCGTTCCCTCACGCTCATTCGCGGTCTGGATGAGAGATACTTGGATGCCGCGCAAAGCGTCCATAATTCCACCAAGACTTACGGTCAGCTCCCTGAACTCGCCTCAGATACTCGTCCCGATGCTCGCACGTTGCGCAAAGACATCTCCACCCAGATTGACAGTGCGATCAACGCTCGCGAGTCCGCCTACGCCGAGGCCTGTCGTCTCTATGACGTGGTCGATCGTCACTTTAATCGATTAGATTGCATTCGACAGAAGCTGAACGCGCTCCCCAAGCCGGCCTCACGCGAACCTACCCCCGCACCCCCTGTCCCCACCGCGACCGCCACAAAACGCGGTCGGTCCTCGAAGAAGGGCGACGAAGGTGCGCCGACCACGACGCGCATTACCCTTCGATTAGATAGCCATGACAATGCCCGACGCGGTCCTAAATCTCGATCGCGGCGCTCCGCGACCGGACATCTGGCAGGCCTACATCGCGATTCCCCCATCGCGAGCACTGAGCATTCCGACGTGGAGGCTGAACCTAAGGCCGTTCCGCCCGAGTCGCCCATGGAGCTGGGATTGAGTCCGGCCAAGAAGGAGAAGCAGCGCCGGCGATCACGGACCTCGGCAGCTACCCATGATCCCAACAATGTCACCGCCATCTCGACTAGTAATGCCCTGGCCCTGCTCAAACCGCCTCCGGAGGACGCACAACCTGGTAGCGAGGACATGCCGTGGCTGCGTCTCACCGAATGGGAAATGACCAAACTTCGCAAGAAGATGAAGAAGAACGCCGTGTGGCAACCCAGCGAAGTCATGATTCACCGCGAGCTGGCTCTCCGGGGGCGGGGATGGGAGGCGTACCGCGCAGCCAAGTCCAAGTCGGACGCGGAAGGGACTGAGTTCGTGGACTGTGACGACATCATGAGCACTTACATCCCTGGCCAGTTGGTCCGACGCACCGAAGGAATGAAGGATCCGGAGGGGACCTTCGAGACAAAGCTTAGCAACCGGGGCATGAAGCTAAACGAGGCCAAGAAGCTCAAGCGCGAGAACCAGGCGCGGGAACAGGCAGCCCTTGCCGCTGCGGAGGCGGAGTTAGCGGCCAAACAGGGAATTGTCGTCGCCCCCGTCAGCTCTCAGGATGCTCTCATCACGGAAAAACCCAGTCGGGCTGCCACCAAGAAGAGGAGCCTCGACGAGAGCTCTTCCTCGGCCGTCGTATCCTCACCTCCTCCTCCCGCTGCGACTCCTCCGTCTCCTCTGCCGGCCTCGACACCCCAGGAAAGTGAGACACGTGTGGCCCTGCGCAGTTCGGCCAGTAAACGCCGTAGGACCAGCAAGGAATCTCCCACCCTAGTGGAGACGAGTGTGAGCACATCCAGCGCTCCGGCCACCACCCTGGCGTCGACTAATGTGCCCGTAGCCGGTGCCGATGCAGTTGATGCGCGAAAGCCATCCCCCCCTGCTCCACCATCCCCAACCGGATCCAAACGTTCCATCCCCTTGACCATCACCGCGGCGGCCCCTGCCGTTAAGGAAAGTAGGACCACCACGCCGCCCGTGACGCGGCCTCCCTCTCGACGCCGTTCTGCGGCCGCATCGGCGGAGCCCGTCCCCAACATTACTATCACATTAGGGGGTCGCGAGCTGCGTCGAAAGAGCGCCACACCTGCCCGCAGAACTCCGATCCCCGAAAGTGCGAACGGTGCTGCGGCGCCCACTCGACGTCGCAAGCGACCCGCTCCGGGAATCGTGTCCACCGGGCAAGATGGTGGCGCTGCAGTCAGTTACGGCCGACGCAAAGCCAAACCCACCAAGAAACGCATCGGATCGCGCGAACCTGGCTTGTTAGAGGATCCCCAACAAGCTCACGAGGGTATCCGCATCGACGAGGATGGCGTGTTGGAGGAAATCGATCCCCACGAACCTCGTTATTGCGTCTGTGGCGACGTGAGCTTCGGAACGATGATTTGTTGTGAGAACCAAGATGTAAGTGCTTGTCCATTTTCTATTTATACTCGCAACAGCTAATTGCCTGACGTCTAGTGCGACCGAGAATGGTTCCACCTCAATTGCGTCGGTCTCTCCGAAGTTCCCAGCCGAACCGCCAAATGGTATTGTCCCGACTGTCGGGTGAAGCTCAACAAGGGCACCGACGGAATTGTGCGCAACAATCCTCGTCGTTGAATCTATTTTACTTGTTCTTTTTTTAAGGCTCTTGGGCTTTACTCGTTTGATTCTCTCGGTTACTTGCCAGCTGGCTGCATTGATATCTTAGGCTTTGGTCTTTTCGGGGCTTTGTGTTATATGGCGTTGACGAGTCTACGATATGGTGTCTGAGTTTTGTTTCATTTCCACCTTCCTCAGCGTTGCTTCTATCGGATTTAGGTAGCATTTAACTCGATCCTGGAATGGATGGCGGCGGTGTTGGGGGTGTTTATCTTGTGCTTCATCTGGTACTTACGTTGTGTGAATGTTTGAGATTGAACGATTGAGTACATGGACTAAAATGAAGTTTACTGCAAATGGAATATGGAATCTCTGTTTCATACATCATTTATTTACATACTGTCTCTCGCTCACCGGCCTGATCAATCTTTTCTCTTTCGAGAGCGGGCTGGATTGTTCCTCTCTATCTCAGTCTAAATCATCAGCTACCAGCTCCTTTTTCTGCCGGAGACATGACATATTCACACAGTTTGACCTAGGGTCAAGGAAGGAGATGGAATCTTTGGTGCTGCTAGCATCGACAGTTGACCACGTTACCCAATCATATCATTTATTCATTCACATACATGCCAATACAAAATAAAGCTATATACAAGAAGATTCCTATTTCAAAGCCCACTGGCCATTCTCCGAGACAATTTCCACCGACCGCTTCTCGTCCAGCGACACCCGTCCCGCCTGCAGGATGGCAGTCGTGGCGATCGTGTTCTTCAGCGTCGGCAGAGGGCGCGCGTCCAGCTGGTCCAGCGTCACCCGGCCCTCGTTGACCGCCGTTACAGCGTCAATGAACTTCTCGAAACTGATGTAGCCGTAGCCGGTCTGGCCGGCGAAGTTGCCTTCGTCGTCGGGGGCGTAGCGCATGTAGAAGCTGGTTGTGGGTTAGATCTCTGGGTAACTATATGAGGTGGTTGGGTTAGGTTAGGGAACACTTACGGGTTCAACCAGCTCAGTCCGGACTCGTCGCCCGTCACATCGTAGCCACGCTTGGCTTGGTTGATGCGCACCTCGCCCTTGGATCCCATATCTGATTGATTTGGTCAGTCATGCTCTGCTGATAGGTTGGGGATATAAGGACTGCTTACAGTGGAAGTACTGGTTTGAGTGCACGCCGGCCTTCTGAGGCGCCGTCCAGCTAGCCGTGTAGACACCGGTGGCGTTCTTAGACGAGTCGGCCTTGTGTCTCCAGTCCACGAGCAGGGTGATGGTGTCCTCGGTCTCGGGAACGCAGCCCAGCTCGACGGCGGTGCCCTTGGACGCCGACGCGGTGACCTTGACGGGAGTGTAGTCGGGGACCATGCTCTCGTTGATGTCAATGTGATGCGAGTTGAGGTAGTACGAGATATCGCTGTCCTTGCCGGCCCAGGCCTTGAAGGTCTCCAGCTGACTCTTGGGCTGGCTCATGTAGCTGTAGAAGTAGTTGAAGTCGCCCAGGTTCTGGGCCTTGGCACGCGCGTCGGCGTAGGCCGGGTCGAACCGCTTGTGGTGCTCGATGAAGACGAAGACGCCGTGCTTGCGTGCCTCCTCCAGCAGCGTCAGGTGGTCTGCGAGCAGCTGGGTGGCGGGCTTGGTGATGAGCACGTGGATCTTGCGCTGGATGGCGTACAGGGCGATGGGGAAGTGAGTGGGGTCGGGAGTGAAGATGGTGATGGCCGAGCCGGGCTCAAGGGCATCGATGGCGGCCTTGTAGGCATCCGGGTCGGTCTTGTTGTCCGCGGGATAGGAGTCGAAGGAGGTGTCCAGACCGTTGTAGACTTGCGAGATGTTCTTGTTCAGGTGGTCGCCTGTCCAGGTTCAATTAGCACTCCCGGTCCATCGGATCTTTTCCCTCGAGACCCTCCGGATCCAACTTACGAATGCCTGGGAACTTGGAACCCGACACTCCCACCATGCTCAGCTTGCCGACCTTGCCTCGTCGTCGCAGATCAAACAGCGTCAAACCGACCACGCCGACTTTCTTGTCGGAGCCGGACGCAGCACCACCCACGTAGCCCGTGGTGTACTCGCCGGTACCAACCTGTTGGGGTCAGCAATTGATCAATTGAACGACTACCTAGGTCTAGTCATGCAGATAACATACCATCAACACACTGGGAGCCATGTTATCGTTGTTGTCGCACACGTAAAAAAACAAGGAATTGCCGTTGGTTACAGAATGCAGCGGGTCAGAGAGCGACTGCGCACAAGCGATGAGGGAGAGAAAGTCGAAGAAAATGCCATTGAGCCGGGAGCGCGACAGATAAAGCCGGACTGCTGGACATTCTTCCCCTCGCATGACGGAAGAATTGACGCCTCTTCTCCATCGGGTCACGGTACCGTCGGTCTTTGATCCGCCGAGTCAGGGTCAGGACCGCTGCTGATTGGTGGAAAATTATCTCTCCGGCGAGGAACGGCCGCCAATTAGGAAGGTGGGGGTGTCTCTGCTTGGGTGCCCCGCGTTTCCGTTGCCGACAGCAGTAAGTATACAGTACTGAGTAACTAAGGTACGTATACAGGGTGATTCTATCGCTGCCTGAGGGGTAAACTCGCTCCGGAAAGCGGAGAGGCCCAGCCCTATAAGTTATATAGTCCCCGCCGTCTGCTGTCACCTCTCGCGATCCCTCTCTGTCTCTGTCTCTATCCAATTCCATCCACATTCCAGTCTCCCCCCGATCTGTTTAGGTGCAGTGCGTATTTTCCTATCCACTCGACCTCCAATTATCTACTCCCTACTAACCATATACCTATTCAGCCTCCAGTAAACATGGTTTCCCGTACCCCCCTCCGCACCGGAGTCTACGCTCCCACCATGACTTTCTTCAATCCCGACACGGAGGAGCTCGACGTTCCCACGATCCGCAAGCACGCTGTGCGTCTGGCCAAGGCCGGTCTCGTCGGCCTGGTCACCATGGGATCGAACGGAGAGGCTGTTCACCTGACCCGGGAGGAGCGCAAGACGGTTATCCGCGAGACGCGGTCTGCCCTCGTTGAGGCTGGCTTCCAGAACGTCCCCGTCATCACCGGCGCCAGCGAGCAGAGCATCCGCCTGACGATCGAGCTGACCAAGGAGTCGGCCGAGGCCGGTGCCGAGTACGCGTTGATCGTGCCCCCCAGCTACTACCGCTACGCCGTCGGCAACGACGAGACGCTGTATGAATACTTCACTGCCGTGGCCGACGCCTCTCCCCTGCCCATCATCCTCTACAACTACCCCGGCGCCGTGTCCGGCATCGACATGGACTCCGACCTCATCATCCGCATCTCTCAACACCCCAACATCGTCGGCACCAAGTTCACTTGCGCCAACACTGGCAAACTGACCCGCGTCGCGCGCGCCCTCAACGCCATCACTCCCGAGTCTCCCCTGGTGACTCCGCGCAAGAACATCTCGACCAAGAAGACCGAGAACCACCCCTACGTGGCCTTCGGTGGCATCGCCGACTTCTCGCTGCAGACGCTGGCCTCGGGCGGCTCGGCCATCCTGGCTGGTGGCGCCAACGTCATCCCCAAGCTTTGCGTGCACATCTTTAACCTCTGGAGCGCGGGTCGCTTTGCCGAGGCAGTCGAGGCCCAGCAGCTGCTCAGCGCCGCCGACTGGGTTCTTACGAAGACTGCCATCCCCGGCACCAAGGGAGCCATCCAGACGTATTACGGATACGGCGGTTACCCTCGTCGGCCTTTGGGCCGCCTCAGCGCGGAACAGACCCAGGCTGTGGCCGAGGGAATTAAGGAGGCGATTGACTTGGAGAAGACGCTTCCTGACGTCGCCTAAACTGTTTCATATACTTTCAATGAATGTATTTTGTATGATTGCATGATCAAAATGGAGAGCTTTAAACCTGCCAAATCCCTAAATTCCCATCTTATGAAAGAAATTTGCATGCCCTCTAAGTAACCATGTACGAAGAACAGCACATCATCCGCGGATTCAAAATCTCGGACAAAACACCGGGCCCAGAATCAATGCGGGGCTAGAACTCCTTAGGAAACCCCCACGCCAATCTAAACCGGCGTGGCATTTCATAGGTGGACAAACTGCTATGGACTGGATGGAGTGTGGGGGGCTCCAATACAAGGGAGGGCTGCAGCCTGCATGCCAGTGTTACGGATACAAGCGTGGGTAAACACTATGGATATCTCAGCTCTGTCCTACTAGTCATGGATTATCTCGTGTGACTTCTGATTAGAATGCCTTGTCAAAGGCAGCTGTTAATAGATTCGTTCTCAATTCGTCTTGCTCTAGATGGGACGCGGCATAGTACTTGGATCACGCAATTTCTACAAGTGTAATTAGGGTAGGGTACTCTCCAAATGTGCAACAGTATGCCGAGCCTTTGCTTCTTGCAGATGGAGCTGTGATAAGTAGAAGGTCCCTATTTAGGATCATAGTGACATATGAACTAGTAGAGACTAAACAAGAAGTTTAGACCTGGTGTCAAGCTCATGGAAGTGGGAAGAGATGGATGTTATTCACTAACACTTTCTTATATTTCGGTGCCTGCAGAGCACTGTAGGTTGACTCCCACTAAACCTAATCCAGTACCGAAACTACGTAGCTATGTATGCCTATGTCCTGCCCTGAATATTGAAGTATACAAAAGCTTTATTCTGCCCAGAACCTTAGGTCAAAGGCAATAGCAGCTTCAATCAACATCCACAAGGAATAGCTCTAGATCAAGCATTCCACTCCACTCTAATCACCGAGATAAGAGAGCCTGACCAGTAACGCGAAGGTGGTTGCAACTATACCGCAGATCGCTAGGTAGGTACTCTCTATCCATTCCCTTTCTTTGTCCCGTCGCAACACAAAAGAAAAGAGAGAGGGTGTTGCAGAAGCGGTATACACGGAATGGGAAGATATGGACAATGGGGTTGTCGCTGAATGGATTTGAAATAGTGACGGCGTTTGGAAAGGTATAGAAGACTTAGATGATCGAGAGGTGGAGATGATGTAGCTACGGTCAAGTGCGAATGAAGTCATC